GATTTTTTTTTTTAAGTTAACTTGAAAGGAAATGATACTATGCTTCGTAGCACAAAAATTATTATTTTATTTTTTTTCACCCAGCAATAGGAATGTCTTTTATTATACACAGGCATCTCAACCAGATAATGAATATATAACACCATTTGGCTATAAATTAAATTAGAAAAAATAATCAAATACCTTCAATAGGAATGTCTTTTATTATACACAGGCTCTTTATCATTGTTGAATTCCCTGTCCGAACCTTGATAAAGAGTTAAGTATTCAAAGTCAAGTGTCACCACGAGCTTGAAACTATACAACAGTGAATTCAACAATGATTTTGACAATTCTTCAATATCACAAGCAAAAAAAGATTGCACTCGACCATATTTTGATATCTCACTTCCATTTGAAGTCCTTTTCATGCGTGTTTGAACAAATAAGCATCCACTAAGTACAAGGAATTTGAACTCTTCATTTTTCATCTCTTGTCAAAAATTCAACTTCTCGCACTTTCTAAAAACAAAGGCGTGCATGAGATCGTAAAGTATAAAAGTACACTTGAAAAACTTTGACCAAATTCTTTCCTTTAAGGTCATCAAGTATTCTTCTGCAATTTTCTCTGATATTTCATCATTATTCTCTTTTTTTAATACAAATTCATCTCTTACCCATAGCTAAATAAGTTTTTCACAATTAATCCAATAGTTTTCAAGAAAAAGGTTAAAGTACAAGATGGATTCCTTGTATGGGAGATAATAGTAGCTTTCAAACAAGATTTGATAGAAAATTTTAAGACGAAAATAACTTGAAAATTTTAAGTAGAGGCTTCTATACACCTTTTGCCACTCAAATACACTTTTTTATTCAGCCGGATAGCAAGCAACGCTCCTTCACTTCGCTGCAATCGAAGATGCAAAAATTAAGATTTTTTTCTCCCCAACCCCAACCCTAACCAAACTCTCCACCCTTTAATGAGAATTGAGAAACTTCTTTAAAGGCTTCCTTCTTGTAATAGCAGGAAGTGAAACTACTATAGTAACTAGAAGAAAACATGAAAGGATGATAACAATGGAAGTATAGTGTAATGAAAAGGACATCTAACTGATTGAAAGGGAACAATAGATAAAGATAAGAAATAGATAAATTTGTCTTACTGTCAGCAAATCATCAGGATCAAAAAGGTGATGAGTGATCATCTGCAGAACATTGATTACTTCGCCAACATGATGGGTTAGAATTAACTCATCTTCCTTCATCTGCAGTTAGAGATTACAACTCTTGAAACATTGTATCTGCTGTAGCATACTCTTCAATATTTTTCTGTGTATCAATCAAAAAGCAAGAGAGAACATAATGGCTACTCTAGTGGTACCTTAAAGATTGCCCAGGCAACATTGAAGAGTTATCTGATTCATGGAATAAGTATTAATGTGGGGAACAATTTAACATTCCAATGAATAATTTATTGCATCATTATTCTAACCTCGGAAGGCAGGCTTTTTGAAAAAGAGACATAGGAACCACTCAGAAGTAACAAGGGAAACATCCTGCATTTCCATTTCTATAATTTTTCAGAAGATACTATGAAAAAAAGCATTTGATACACAATTAGTACATCAAACTAAAATACCTCTGGCACTTTTTAGCAAGTAAATCTTTAAACACTCTGCTCAACATGGCATCCTGATAAGTTGTCAGTGTAACAGTCATTAACTAGGATATTTTCCAACAAAACTGCAAGCATCCAAAATGCATCTTCTTCTGTCGTCATGACAAGCAACAATAATGCTGCCACATAATTTAATCCCTGGAGCAATAATATAGTAGAGTCAATAATTAAGAAAATCTGTTCTCAAGTATGAATTTAATTTTTACTAAGTAAAGCAGATATAATTGTTAACTTCAATATTAACTGAAAAAACTTTGTGCTATATTTTACCTACCTCAAAAACTTTAAAACATGAAATAGAGTTGCTGAACCAATTGAGAAGAACAAATGTAGGTAGAACATATAAACAAATCCATGCTTTAGTCGCACAAAGTTGTGAATTAGTTAGAAGCATAGGATCCAGAGGTAATAAAAGAATATTCAACCTGCAAGTTACTAATTTACGAAGATGTAGCATCTAATCAAAGAAGATGAATAAAACAAGCAATGATTGAATGAAAGAGGAAGGCACGTAACAGATATTTTCTCATCAAATACCTAATATGAGAGACACATAAATAGTATCAAATTTCAATTTATAACAAGTCAGAACATTGTCCTTAACACACTGAGCAAGCAAAAAAGACTTCAAATAAAGAACAGAGCATTCACACCTGACAATACCCAACATCAGAATCACAGAAAGAATATGCAACAAGAACACACCTAAGAGCTGCACGTCCCTCTGGAGTGTCCAACCATGGGTGACCAGGGAAGGTTCGTGGTAGGTCCTGTAAATTTGTTTATAGAATGATTAGAAACAGAAATAAACATAATGAGCACTGTAATGTGCAAACAAGCTCAACTATTCTCAAACAAACGTCAACTAGTGAGCATTTTATGGATCACATCACATCAAACACCCATAATTGTCGGATAAGTAGATAAATGACATACACATCCCAATCAATATATAAAAGCCTACACAAACTTGATCTCCAATCTCAAACTGTACCAAGGACCACATAAATTCCTATTTCTTTCTGATCAGCATTTACTCAAAGCTACATTTGGCCTCAACTAAATTTCATGTATTCAAGAACATTGAAAATTAATTAGAAGAGCTAAGGCTTACAGATCCCATATTTTGCAAAGGTTATAAGCATTGGGCTTACAAATGCTTCAACTCCTACAGATCTTTCTTAACTCGGTATCATCTATAAATAATAAATGTTGCTAATTAGGGGAAAAAGCATGAGAGTCACACCCACTATCATCCATCAAAATCTGCACCAAGATTATGTTTGAAAATCTTTTCATAAGACCCACAAACACAATGCAAAGTGTAGACAATGTGATTCCTCCATCAAATTCATTTGAAAATGATCCAAACAATCCAGAAGGGTGATGTCCACAACTATAATAAAGAAACTTGCAATCAAATCCAAAACCAATCCCAATTGTGTGATGATCATTAGAAAAAGAAAAATGGGGTAAAGAACTCACATGATCTATCTGCCAGGTAGCAGGGGTGATCTTCCCCTCCACTGCTTTTGTCAAATCATCATAATAACTCTCAGGCACAATGGACTTTTTCTTAGCTGCCCCTGACAAAGAAAACCAAACCTTAGGCCTAAGAACTGGGGGTATCCCATTCCTGATTAAAGCATTAGCCAGTGCTGAGAATTTCAAGGAAGATGTTAGGGCACTGCCTTGTCCTATGGTAGTGTGTAAATACCAATTTGCCCCTTTGCTGGCCTCCATTGCCCACCAAACTCTACCCTGTTTCCTCACCTTCTCCCTTACCTCATTCTGTCATTCAACACATTCACATCATCCTCATTCAACACATTCACATTATAATAATCTTTTAAGATTATAATTCAATGATTTATTTAAAGTTTTTAAGTATTAACATATATAAATTTAAATCTACTAAGGTATTTAAAAGTAAGTTTTAAAGTTATTCAATAGATTTTATCATACAATAAATTTTTAAGTAAAGCTGGACTTTTAAAAAAATAATTTTTAAAAATATTATCTTAAAAAGATAAATTAAATTCAAATGTTAAATTAAAAAAAAAAACCCAGAAATCTTATTTTTATAAAAATTTGTGACTTTTATTATTATTAACTCTTGGATGAATGACATTTTTTTTTCACCTTAATTTTTTTAATAAATAGTTTCATAATTTGGAGACAATGTTACCTGCAAATAGAGGACCACAGTATGACCTGAACTATCACCTGATCAATGGACTTGCAACAGGTCCATCGATGAATGAATTATATATGTATATTGTATTTTTTATATAAATATAATTATAATTTTATAATTTATTAATATATATATATATATATATATAATTTGTTATTTTTATCTATTTCATGTGTTTTTTTCTTAGATTCAATATTTCTATTAAATAGATTTTTTGTTTGGAAAAATAAGAACTTATTTGGCTGGCATTCACGTTAAATTAATAACATGATAATTTTTTAGGCTAACTTTATAATATCAAATTTAAATTTAAAATTTTATTGGCACACTAACATCGTTAATTTCTGAACTTTTTTTATAATTAAAATCTTGATATCAATTTCTGATTTTTGGTACTGTGTGAGATATAGAAATAACTCTGAACAAATAATTACAGTCCACGATGATGTATCCTTCTTACATATCCTTTTGTGCAATTTCTCATACAAAATATCTATTTTCTCTTGAAGATTCATTCCTTCCGTGTCACGTTATCCACATACTTCTTGCTCCACTTTCCGTATTTCAATGAAACATTGCTAAAGGAAATTATTTTCTTTTTAATTAAAAAAAAATGCAGCATTCATGTACAATTTTGACTCTCAATCCTCTTATGCCAAATAACACAGCCATTAAAGAGAATATATAACAACTCATATAACATAAATAGTCTTTCTCACATGTGTGAGACTCCCATTCATGCAAACAATTCCTTTTAAACTTTGTCACAATCAAATAATGGATATATAACACCATTTAGCTCTAATCAGATAACAAAGTTTATAAGATAAATTAGAAAAAAATCAAATATGTTTATCTTTAATTTTAACTATAATATCTAAAAATAAAATTATATTTATTTAAAAATATATTATAAAGTACTGTAACCATATCGAGAAGTTATAAAACCTTTGAGAGATTATATGTCTTGTGACTAAATTGTATAAATTTTTTACATTCTCTCTGAATTGACCATCCAATATTGAATATTCGCGAGCTACTTGGCGGGACCCAATAGTCCTTTTCTCTGTCGGAAGAAAAGTATCGTCTCAAACAGTAATAATCAATTCTTTTGAATAAATTTGCAAAAACTTAACTGATTTTAATGTCGTTTACTTAACGCTAATTTCAGAGTCAGCAGAGAGCGAAACAGAGTGAAGAACAGAACATGTTCATACGAAGAGTTAAGTACAAGAAGAAGTAGCAGTGAAGGTTGGATTGCGTCCATGAAATCACACCACTTTCGCTGCCTAAAAAGCATAGGAATACAATGAACGACGATTCTGCGTACAGAGTCGAAACTACATGTCGTATGGCACGATGGACAATCCACAACTTAGCCTCTTCCACTTACCGCAAATCCGATCCTTTCCGAATAGCCATGTGGAATTGGTAACTCTCTCTCTCTCTCTCTCTCTTTTATGCAACAATTGAAGACCCTTTTTTCTTTTATTATTATTAGTTAAAGACGTTTGTTTTCTTCTTCTGAAATGAAGGCATTTATCAGTGGAGAAGAACCGGGTTTCGTGTGTTAAATTATACCCAGAAATATCCAATCTAACCAGAGACAATCCCCCTATTGCATCTTTCATCGTTCGCTTGCTTACTTCTGTTCGAGATCGCAAGGCCTTAGCCATTTCAGGTCACCCAAGTTCTGCTTTTTTTCCTTCTTCACACAGTTTAATTGACTCACAGAGCATCATTTTAAAATTTATTCAAAACGATACAAATAATTTTTTTACAATTTAATAAATTTTAATTGATATGTTAAAAAAATGTGTTTTTAATAACTCTCACTTACCTTCTATCACTCATATTTAAATTTTTTTTTTATATTAAATATCTCTATTATTAATATGTTTATAGAAAAATTGCGACAAAATTACTTTAATAAAAGTGTAAATAGACAGTAGGAGTAGTAACTGATACACCGATTCTTTTTATTACAAAGTTTTAATATAACTATGGTTTCTCATTTGGTTGATTACTATTAGTCACTCATTGTATAGAAAATCTTTGAGTTTTGTTAGTTAGTTCTATTAGCATTAGTTGTTAATTAGTTTAAGCTGTTTAGTTTGTTAGCCATGAACGTATATATAAATACCTTTTTTAATTCATTGTAATGTATGCTGTTCATTTTCATCAATACAGAAACAGAATCATTTACTCTTTCTCTGCGGTCTTTGCTTTCTCTATTCTTCAATTTTCTTCTCTCGGTTTATTCTTGCTACAATTACCTTTATTTTCACAATGATGCAGAAATAAAAGAGAAATTGCTTAACAACCGCGAAGGCTTTGTTTGGGAAATTGAGGTCCCACTGCCTACAAAATTCATTATTGACATAGAGTTCCTGGATTTGAGGACTTCATCTCCAAACGTACATAAATCTATCTTTACCCTTAGGTTCCTCTTTAACAGATGATGATTATTTTAAGACATGAGGATACTTAATATGTAATGCATTGTTACAACCATGACTATGTTCACTTAATTAATCACTTTGTGCGGTTCAATCTTGAAGAATAATGATATATCTAACTTGATGTTACTACTTTTTTTTATTTGAATACAGGGTGGAGAACCTTGCTCTATCTGGCCTAGTAGATTTTTGCAGCAAAGATTGAATGCAACATCCCTTGATTCTCTTGGTAGAATGCTAACAGAAGGCATACACACAGACATCACAATTAATGCCAATGATTGTGATGGAAGCATAAGAGCCCACCGGGCTATTCTTGCTGCTCGTTCACCTGTTTTCCACAGCATGTTCTCACATAACCTTAAGGAGAATGATCTTTCTACCATAAATATCTCAGACATGTCAAATGATGCTTGCCAAGCATTTCTAAATTATCTTTATGGGACCATTAAAGATGAAGAATTTCTGACCCATAGGCTGGCCCTACTGCATGCAGCTGACAAATATGACATCCATGATTTGAGAGAGACATGTCATGAGAGTCTGCTAGAAGATATTGATTCAAATAATGTACTTGAGAGGCTCCAAAATGCTTATATCTATCAATTGTCAAACCTGAAGAATAGTTGTATGCAATATCTTGTAAAATTTGGTAAAATATTTGACATTTGGGATGATTTCACTTGCTTCTTGCAAAGTGCAGACAGGGATCTGATTTCTGAAGTCTTCCATGAAGTTCTTAATGCCTGGACAGGATTATGAACCTTCTTCTTGAAAGGACATCAAGACAAGATGTTATTCGTTGTGCATGATTCGTTTTGATCAATGTAAATTGTTTTTTCTTATATGGTTTATTTCTTGATTTTCAATTACATATTTATTTAATGTAGTTGGGCCATATGTTAATTGAATTATCGTCATTTATTTCTATAAATCAAACTTTAGAAGTTTGTGCTTGGATGATTTATATGGGCTTTCTGGCTTTCAACCTTCAAGGCGGTTGCACTTGCTTTACTCCAAAGATTGAATCATTGAAAGGAGAAATATTTTCACCTTCCCAAATCAAATGCATTGACAAACCATAAGCAATAGCAGTAACACCCCCAACAACCTCCATGATCCTCTGGCAATAGCAACTTGACTTTCGAAATTAGCTTAGAAATTAATCCAAACATAAGTGATTCTCAATTTCTCATGATAACAAGATATGTTGTTCATCAATTTCTAGATGATGTGCCCTTGTGAAGAAGGGATTCACTCATACAACAATAAAATGATTATCTTCTTTGACTTGTAATTTTGTATATATTGTAGCACTCCGCAAGTAAAAAAAAAAAAAAAAGTATAGTAGCTATGACAGTCACAGTAATTACTCGGATTCCATTTTTTTTTTTTCCTTCTTCATTTTAATGGTTCCACTGTTCTGGCCCAAGTTGCACAAACTTCTTATCTTATTTTTGGTTATGGTCCATGCACTAGCTCCAGTGAACTTAGCTTAGGCTATTCGGATTAGGCTTAAGAAGTAAGGACAAACCTGTCTATATTGGTCCTCATGATTACAGTCTTTGGTTGGATTCGTTTTTCCCTCTATTTTTTGGGCCATTTTTACCAATACTGTTTGGGCCCTTTTTTTTGCTTTTCATACAGCCCAAACAAAATTACATATTCACATCTCTTGACCAAAGTATAAACACCTTCGTATCCATTAAAATTTTAAAAATAATCTAAATTTATATATTAAAAACGAGTCTTTATTATTGAACAATAATTCTTTTTAAATTTTTTAAATAATAATATTTTTAAAATTATTCTAAATGAGAGTATTTTTATGCATTAATATTTTCCTAATAATGCTATTGGAGTTTTTTATTTAATTTTTATAAAACTTTTAATTTAATCCTATCTGACACATTAAAATATATAATAATAATATTTTCTAATTTAATTTTTTAAATTTTATTAAATTTTAAAAATTCATATAATAAACATTGGTATGATAACTCTTCAAAGTTAAAAGGGTCTTTGAAATGAAAGAATATATAAATAATTTTTTTTCCAAATCACTGGAAGTAAAAATGAAGAATGTGAAACACGTAATGAACGAATATTTGGGGACAAATCCCTCAAGGAAACCATCACAAGCTAAACCTACTTTTACGCAAAGATGCAAACGGAGAAACAACCACGTAATTCATTTCACTTTTCTATTCTGATCAGTTTTTTGGCGATTTCTTTGGGATTCAATCGTATATATGATTGCATGTTGATAAGTACCATTTTCACTTTTTTGAAAATATATACAAATAGTTCAAACATCAGCATTTACCCTTTTGATGTCACAAGTATCTGCGTAATTTTGTTCGCTAATTTAAACGTTAGAAGATTAACATTATCATTATTATCTCTATTTGTTTAATATACATTCATCTGAAAAATACACATCAAAATAATAGGGCTTGTTTAATCTTTATTATACACGGATCATTTTCCTTATGGGATCAGTGTGATTTGGGGACAAAATGCATAAAATACAAATGGGTCAATCATTATTATGATCATTTTATTCAAACAGAAAATTTCGTTTAGAAAAGAAAAGACCATAAGAGAAAAACATTTTTTAATCCAACCTCAAGTAAAAAATAAAGCATTATTATTTTCATCCAGTAGTTTGCAAGTAATAATTAAGGGTTAAATATCGTTTTAGTTACTGTTAATTCACTTTTAATTCCTATAAGTTAATAATAAGAAATAATTTAAAAACAATTTCTTAATAAAACCCTCAATTGCTTCGTCTAACTAAAGAAATTATACATTTAGCAGATGTATAATAAAAGATTGCTATAAATAATGTCTTTTCCTAGTGTAAATAAGAAACTATATTTTAACATAACTGTTCTAAAAAAGATAAAATCTGTTTACGAGGCACTCCCAATAAGGATTTAAATTAAAACAAATAACAAATAATGTAAATATTCATCTTAAAATATCAATGAGAATTGAGAAGAGGATGATCCCAGAGGAAACAAAATGCAGAACAAGAGAATATAACGGTGAGTATTGAAAAAAGAAACAGAAACAGCATTCCAACAAGAGAAAGTTAATTATAAAATCAACATGAATCCAAAGAAAGCAGTAACTACAAATGACAATTCTAACAAATAATTTATAAAACAGCGTTAAAAACAAACAAATTCCAGGAAAAATTAACAAGAAGAACGAAATCGAACAAGAGAATCAGAACTAGAACAATGGCGGCGGTGCATAACCCAAGAAGGGCCTTCTTCCTCCGACACCACCGCAAGAATCGCAGTAACTAACAGTGTCTTTAAGCTTGTGGAAGCCATGCTTGAACACTCCGAACCCGAATAGCAACCCGATGAGGATCACCACCAGAATCAGACACGTGCATAGCATGCACACTCTCCCTCCACAACACATCTCTCACCAATGATCGCTGAAAACACAAAAGTTGAAGCCTTTTTCTTCTGGGTAATTCGGATCTGGGAAATTCTGATGCGAATTTGGTTGGGGATGATGGAAAATTGGGAATATAATGCGGAATTTAAAAGAAAGAGAAAATAAGAAGAAGGTTAGAAGGAGAAGTGTAAAAGTGGAAAACAGAAGGAAGAGAAGGAAGACAAAGTTGGTGTCTGTGTCTGTCTCTCTGGTTGAAAACGTTTTGACGCTTTTGTTCGCTTATAATGAAAGCTATCAAATCCGTTGAAACAAGATTCCTTTAAAAAAAAAAAGATAGTTTTCTTTTTGTGAACTTTTTTAATGTGTACGTCATAAAACCGATAAATTTATAAAGATGTTAGCTTTTTTAATATGTTCAAAAATATTATTTAAAAAGAATAAATTTATGAAATTTTCACAATTTCATGTTAAATTGGACAGATTATTTAAGAGCCTAAAAAAGATTTTATAATTTGACACATATTAAATCATGTTTACATATTTCTAAAAAGAAAATCAGCATTAATTAATGTTTTAAAAAATAGGGTTTTGAATTAAACGTGTGAACGTTATGTTGTCAACTTTCACGGAAAATGAGGAAGGTGATGCGTTAAAGGGGAGAGTGGTGAAGTGGTTGAGTCCGTTACAACAAGAAGAAGCTTTGGAATATGGATATTGAGTCTCAAAATTTGGTGATTGGTCCTTTGTGAAGTTGACCAGCGACGTGTGGCGTTAACGCGTGAAAGATACCCCTTACTTAATCCCATATGCTCAACTTTAACCTCTCTTTGTGATGCATTGACAAAAAACAAAGAGCGACATAACTTTTCACTAATGCTCACGGCCTTTTTTTCTTTTTGCTGCTTTTGGTCCAAATCCCATGGTTCAGGCATTATATACGTCCAAGGCCCATACAATATGGGCTTAAAAACAACAACTAGAATTCGGACAATCTCTTAAGCCCAAAGGGAACTTATCTTTGACCAAAAACCCATGTTTGTTGCTGTTGAAAAGAAATTCAACTAGACTTGCTTGTCATTTATGGGAATGACAATAAGTGGATTAGGAGTATTCTTATCCGTATTTTAAAAAAATATATAGTTTTATATTTTCATGAGTAGTAAGTAATTTTAATCTCTCAATATATTCTTTTTAAGTATCTACACTCACTCACGCTTATTAAAAAAAAATACTTATTAAAAAAAATATACTTACCCGTTATCATTTCTACTTATCAAACATAAATTGCTTTGTAGTGATAACTTGTGTTTTTAACTATAAACTTTTACATTATTTTACGAGACACAATGTTCATGGGACATGATTTTTCATTTTTCTTCATTGTGATTTCACATGCTTTTGTATCATGTAGATAATATTCTTAATAAATAAATCTCGTAGTGGTTCAACTCATACCTGAATGTTCAAGTTAAAGCTAATCAACATATTGCTCATTTTATGTAGTGGCTAGTTGTTACCCTCTATTCTCACTGGTAATATTCCTCTTGAATTTTGATTCAATTTTGCAGGATGGCATTAATTGAGCATCCTCATCAACTCAAACCTTGAGTAGAGCCAGAGAAAACTGCTGGTCCAAAATCCAAGCTTGTTCCCTTACTTCAAGGTAAAGGGTTACTTTCCAAACCACTTGTGGGTCCTATTATAGAAAGGGTAACACTAAATCCTTACTTTTTGATGGCCCATCTTGTTCTATACCAATTTTGCATGTATATCAAGGTGAGGGGGCCCTAGATCCAACGAAAGAGCAGGCAATGCTGATATCTTAAGATTCTGAAAGAAAATATGAGGATTTCATTGAGGCCCTACAAAAAGTGACACCCATCATATCTTGGTTATGTTCTCAGTCATGCCAGTGGCTATAGAAATGCATTCATATCTTCGATTTTATTTCAAGTTTCTGATTGAACACCTACTTTTCTAGGTTGTCCATGCTCGGTTAGGGAGGGGAAATTGACCCAATAGTGACCGTCGTTATAATTGTAATTGCATCTTTTGTAGTTCCATTAATTTGTTCATTTTGAATAATGTAGGTCGCGGTGATTCAAGCCATGTGTATGAACTAAGACTAGTTTATTAACCATTACTAGAATCACTGCATTGACATGAGACATCTATGAGTTTGCAACGATGCTCTATCTAACACACCTATATCATTAATAAACATTTCACCTTTTTTAAGGAAGAGACCTCGGCTTCTATCAAGCATATAGCAAATTATACAAAAAGATCTACGATATGATCAAGTCTTGAATTCATTCAATGCGTTGTGGAGAATATCTTTAGTGGGTAAAGTTGTGCAATTTCCTCCAAATTGTCCTCTTTCTCACTAACATATGACAATGATAAAGTACAAAATTAGTTCTTTTATTTCACTTTTCCGTGAGTGCTTGTGTGGATCACACATCCAAACTCTGGATCAACCCAAACAAAATATACAAAAAGGCTCAAAATTAGACACCCCGCAAAAAAAATGTAGAATTTACAGAATATAATTTGGTTTCTACATTAATCTTTTATGGAGCAACCCACAATTTTGTTATATGCGAAGCGAATTAATTTTTCTTTTTGGAAGCTAACTACCAGCACTGATCCGTTTCCCATCTACGGGTCTGGTAGAACCCGCAAGACTCATTCGGAGCCACCGAAGACGAGAACGAAAGACTACCGCCGTGCGCTGCCATCAGCGACAAATCATACAGTGCTCTGGCCGAAGGATCTGATAGCGTCTCGTAAGCGTCGTGGATTTCGATGAAGTCCCTTTCGTCCGATTCCGATCGCCTGAGCACCGAATCAGGGTGATACACCTTCGCTAGGTTCCGATATGCTGATTTTATCTCCACGGCAGACGCGTTCTGCTTGATCCGGAGCACCTCGTAGAGACTCGCCGGCCGCCGCGAATCGATCGCCGACGCCGTCGCTGCGAAAGCCTGAATCGAACCCCTGCATTGGTTGGGTGGCTTTGAAATCGGAGGCCGGATGAAGCCGCCGGAGATGGAGCATCCTTCGGAGGATAGCCGGAGTGTCCCGCCGGCACCGGCGAGGGGCATGAGATTTAAAGTTCCCGGCATTTAGAGTAGCTGCTGTGGATTTTTGCGGTTGAGGGGTATAATGGGAAATGAGAGTGTTGTGTTTGTTGTTGGTGCGATCCTAGTTTTTTCAGTGCTCAGAGGCAGTTGAAGGAGGTTTTATATAGTGGTCAAAGTAAGAGAACAAAAATAGCTAAAAAGGGTATAATGGTCATTTAAGCGGCACCAGGTATTGGTGCAGAACTGCGTGTGGGTTTTGGAAAGGTTTCTAGAAGCTGGGCCCACGTCATTTTTTCTGTCGCTAAGATTTTATGAAGTTTGAAGTGCGATTCACTGTGATTTGAGAAAACCCGAAGAAAATAAAGCCTTTGAGCACTCAAATTTTGCTGAATAATCAATGATCTTTTAAAATTGATTTTGAGACTAATATGGCAATTCATATGATTTTTTAAAAAAAATTAATAAAATTAATTTTAAACTGTTAAATATTATCTAGAAGATATATAAATTAAATTAAGCTATACATATATATTTATATTTTTTCAATAAAGTGTTTTTTTTTCATAGATTAAAGTTAGTTTACTTTCTTTACAAGCTCAGGATAAGGGGTGAGTTAATTATTTTCTACCCCAATAAGGGAAGAAACACAAGGGTTAATTTTTTCCCCATGAAGACGTAAGTGCTGCAGCAATTGTTGGTGTCAACTTTGGGTATAACAGTTACTAACATAGTGTGGTGGAGCATGACCCTTCCCAATTACTGTGGGCGCCATCAGCATTATTGCGAAATAGTCTTGTAAATCACTATCAACTTTCTTGTAAAATTCAGTGGCTTAACAAAGCAAAACCATGTACGCACTAAATAGGTGCAGTTAAATTCCTAAAACTTACAAACTAAAGCATAAGCAACTTAGTGTATAATAATTGTCTTTTTTGAGAATAAGAAGAAGCCATTTTCTTTTTACTCTTAAGATTATAGTAACTTTTAGATTTCAACCTAAAAAAAGCTTATGGCATGGACGACTGCTTATATATATATATATATATATATATATATATATATGAAGGCGATTAACGTTGCATCAAACAAATGTCAACGTGACTGTATAGATTCTTATTCCAGAGCTTAATCGTGAAGTATATATGTTATATATGAAGGCGACCATTAACCAAACCACGGCTTTATCTGGCAGCTCTAGACATTGCCACTTCATTTGACAATTCTTTTTCTCCTAGCTCTTTTATGTCACCTTGTCCATGCAATTTTTCAAATCACTCATAACCATCGTCCTCTAATCCAACACTCACCTTTCATTCAAGCCCTTGAATGGATAGCCTTTGCCCCCAAAAAATCGATGTAAAAGCAAATATAAGATTAGATCTCTCATCTAACTGTAGAGAAGGAGTTTTCAATGAAGGCCATGTAATTTTCCTCATTCCTCCTTATGTAATCCCTTCTTAAATATAAGATAAGATTTCTGGAGTTCAAAATACCAAAATATACCTGCACCTGCGTGTGCAGTTATAGTCCACACTGTTACAAATTGTAGTACGTTTATGTAGTGAGAGTTGCTATTTAGTACGAATGATAACTCAAAATTTGACGAATTTTATGTATATCTAATAAGAGATAGAAATGATAGAAGCTATTTACATTAAAAGTTAATAACCTCTTTTCATTACCTTTTATAAACTACAAAATCGTAGAGAAGATTATTCTTATTTAATTTCTTCTACTATTTTATTAGCAGAAGGCAAAAGTTGTATTGCGATTCCATACTTTGTTAATTTTTAGAGACATCTCTATCTTATTAAACATATATTCAGCATCAGTTGATAGATATATGCTCTTATACTCTGTCACGTACCACTAAATTAACACACAGCTTCCAAATTACGATTGTAGTTTAGTTGACTTGAAACGCTTAACATGCTCAATGATTAACCATAGGGATGGTACAAGTTAACCAGGTCAAACGAATGTGATACATAGATAGAATAAGCGAAAATTAAAAACTACATAGATTGTATTTAAAATTTATTTATTTATTCTTATGGATTTTATATAGGGCACGTTATAAAAGGGTGGTTTAGCTTCACCATTTGATAAACCACGTAACTATACACGTATGAAGCAATCGTATATTATATTTAGTAGATTTTGAAACTTACAAGCATGATTGCATTGAATCATAATCACGTAAATATCCCTAATTGACCAAAGTTTTTCATTTTCTGCTGTATCGGTCACAATGTTACGTGTCAGACCTAATAGCAATCGCAGCTACATATTCTCTTTCAAATTCCAATTATTGTTTGCTTGACTTGAGACGCTATTATATGCTCAATGATTATATTAACAAATATGGAAGGAATTATTCTAATTAAATTTGTCTTTAGTTTAAGTGCGATTGTAATTATTGACTTTTTTAAACTCAGTTTAAAAAATTAAACATAAAATATTATTCTAAAAGATGATTATTTGATATTTTGTAAAGTGTAAGTTTAAAAAAATTTATATTATAAATTTTTATTTAATATATTATAATTTATTATTTAAACATAAAATTTAAATTAATATAAAAAATTTTAAATTTATAAAAATATGAAAAAATTTATTATATATATATATGAGACAAGATCTTTTTACACTGGTATAATTTTAAAAATTCTTACATTCAATCTGAATTTTTTATTTAATTTAAATTTAATAAATTATAATTTATTATTTTACTAATCATTAAATTTAAATTAAATATAATAATTTTTAAATTTTTATATATATATATATAATATTTTTTTATACATATTATGGTGGCATATATAGGTTTAGTAGAACTTTTACAGAATAATAATTACAATAGTATATGAAATTAAAGTGTCATTTAAAATGTTTACAGGTAATGCCAAGTCGGATCCGAGCTGTGATGGTTCAATCTTAGCGTCCACGTCACTGCCACGTATTATTGTATAGGTCCTCTCTGACGTCACACTCCGTTTTTTTCTTCCCTTAATCAAAGTTGGGTTACAACTTGTCAACAAAACGAATGAACGATTTGGAATGAATCCACACGCCACATGACGTAGCCTCGAGCCAAATTGCACCCAAAATATCAGAGACACCAACGCCACTCCAAAAGGGTCACGTGTACCTTAGCAGGACTGGATCATTCATCCCCCTTTCACTCATAATCGGATTTTTTCTGCCTAAAATCCAATTTCTTGAAACATGTGTCACATGTACTAATCTTTGAAATGCCACGTAGATCATTTCACGACTCACGATGCAGATATTTTTCACCAATATGCTGTTTCCCTATAATTTCACGGGTCTCCACAAATTTGTTGTTTTGTTTTGGGGGAAAGTGACCACAAGTTTTTATTTTAGTTAATAATGATCGTATTTTATTATTGATACATAAGGAAAAACAATTCAAGAATAAGCATAACTACCACATAATTTTAAAATAAGATATTTATGTTTAAGAATTTTAAGATAATTTTTTTAAAGAATTTTATAAAATGGTCGCACATGAGGCTTAGCTTACCTTTCTTCTTAGTCGCCGCATTTTTTAACCATATAAAATAGTATAGCTTACAAAAGTGAAAATATACAAGACCACATCCGAAGTATTCAACTGAATGGGTCAGGTTAGCGCCACCGAACATAGGATAAAAAAAATCCATAATCATTGTAACGTAGATGGACAAATGCATAAATCTTCATCAATTATACCAATAATTCCTAACAATTTGGGCACCACGCTGACACAGCATTATGTGTCCTTGTCATTATCAATTGCTATAAATACCCATCTCTCCCCTGCCTCGTTGTATCTCACGTCCTCTGCTTCTGATTTGGATTTTCAAGTTTGAACAAAACAATAGTGGTAGGTTAGGGGTTGCTGTGCTGCAATCCCCTTTGCTACTGTTTAAAGCCTTTTGAACAAAACAAGAAAAAAAAGATGACTGTGGGAGCAGGGATATCTGTTGCTGATGGCAACTTGATGGTGTTGGGGAAGAAGGTGTTGTCACATGTTCATCACAACCTCCTCGTTACTCCTGCATCTGGGGGTGCTTTGCTCAATGGGGCATTCATTGGTGTTCAATCCCATCAAAAGGGTAGTCGCGGAGTCTTCCCTATCGGCACGCTTCAGTATGATTACTTTTTCTCTTTACAAATTCTCTCTTTTTGTTTCTTTAATGTCAAATAGAGTTGTTATAGTTGAGTATGGTATTAAATTGTGCTTTGGGTGTTCATTTATTCTGCATTTTGTTGGTGAATGCTGCGTTTTTGCTATTAACTCCTTTTTGTACTTGATGTATGTTTATTATGTGTGAAGTGTTGGTGCTAAATTGCTAATATTTTAAGGTAAAAGAAATTCTGATTAAAGTGTAATTATTATTATTATTTTAACTTTAGGGGCTTGCGATTTATGTGTGTTTTCCGCTTCAAGATGTGGTGGATGACACAGAGAATGGGCACTTGTGGACATGAAGTTCCAATTGAGACGCAGTTCTTGCTTGTTGAAGCACACGATGGCTCTGATATTGATGGAGGGGTCGGCAATGGAGAAGACCATGCTGCTGCTACCTATGTAGTTTTCTTACCGCTTCTGGAAGGGGATTTCAGAGCAGTCCTTCAGGGGAATGATCAGAACGAGATTGAGATATGTGTAGAAAGTGGTATGTACTCTTGAGAAGAAAAACCATTCATTTCATTAGTTTATTCATTTGTTGTGGTGGTTCAGAATGATGAAATCTGTGTTTAATTGCAGGTTGTCCTGCTGTTGAGGAATTTGATGGCACTCATTTGGTATTTATTGGAGCTGGATCTGACCCTTATGAAGTCATAACAAATTCTGTCAAGTGAGTACAAGCTACAACCTTTCAATAATTTTAACTTATTCCTAACACTACCTGCTTTATACCATTTCAAATTTCCTAGCATCTTTTTTCTTTTTTTTCTGTTTTGTGTCTGTTTCATTATCTTGCTTAATTTTTGGTTTGTATCAGTGATCAAGTTCTATACATAGAGCCTTCGGTTTGGAATTATTCACTTTACTCTTAAATTGGTTTTTAAATCATGTTAATTACTTTAATATATTTGTTTTATCTTAACCAAGCTATTGGATGTACCGCGTTTTTCATAGATGCCTAAATGAATCAACTTACTGATTTTATTTGTTTTGCTCGGTTCAGGACTGTTGAGAAACACTTACAGACATTTGCTCATCGTGAGAGAAAGAAGGTACATGTCTACTCCCTCCCTAAAATTGAAGCTTCTTGGACGGTTTTATGTCTGAACACTGTATCTTTAACTTCATTACCTCTAAATTTCCCCCCCTTTTTTTTGTTTGTTCTTTCCCCTACTTGAATTCAGATGCCAGATATGTTGAACTGGTTTGGGTGGTGTACATGGGATGCTTTCTATACTAATGTCACTTCAGAGAATGTGAAGCAAGGATTGGAAAGGTATTACTTCTTTCCATGGACTATGGTCATAGTTATGACATTTATGCATCACATAGACATTAATTTAATATTTTATTTTGCAGCCTTGAGAAAGGTGGAATTCCTGCTAAGTTTGTTATAATTGATGATGGATGGCAATCTGTTGGCTTGGACCCCAATGCTGTTGAATGGAAATCTGATAGTGCAGCCAAGTGGGTCCATCTTTCTAAGTTTCATTATCAGATTGTAATTCTATACATTTATAATTTTGAATAAGCGTAATTCACTTTCTTGCTTGCTTCTCCAACAGCTTTGCAAATCGCTTAACACACATCAAAGAGAATCACAAGTTCCAGAAAGATGGCAAGGAAGGTGAACGTGTAGAGGACCCTGCTCTTGGACTACATCATATTACCAGTGAAATCAAACAAGAGCATGATATAAAGTATGCCATTTTCATTTTATTTCTACTGCTTCTTCAAAGTTTCAAGATATTTGGTTCATACATACTTACCCCCTTTGAGTTTACAGGTACGTATATGTGTGGCATGCAATAACAGGATATTGGGGTGGTGTTAAACCTGGGGTTACTGGCATGGAGCACTATGAGTCAAAGATGGCCTTCCCTGTCTCATCTCCTGGAGTTGAGTCAAATCAACCAGATGAAGCTTTGACAACTATTGCCATCAATGGGCTTGGCCTTGTGAATCCTGAGAAAGTTTTTCACTTCTATGATGAACTCCACTCATATCTGGCATCTGCTGGTATTGATGGTGTCAAAGTTGATGTTCAGAATATCCTTGAAACTCTTGGGGCAGGACATGGTGGGAGGGTGAAACTTGCAAGGAAGTACCACCAAGCATTGGAGGCATCAATCTCTAGGAACTTCCCTGACAATGGAATCATATGTTGCATGAGTCACAACACAGATGGATTGTACAGGCATGGATTGCTTCTAAAACTCAAGTAAATGCTGTTTTATGACCACTCCTCTAGAGTTATTTATTAACAATGATGTTTTTCTTTTTTTATGAATTTGATTGTGTAGTGCAAAGCGTTCAGCTGTTATTAGAGCATCAGATGATTTCTGGCCTAGAGACCCTGCATCCCACACGATTCACATTGCATCAGTTGCTTACAATACTATATTCCTTGGAGAATTTATGCAGCCAGATTGGGATATGTTTCATGTAAGTGGTCAAATACGGGATCCTTCCCTTATTATTTTTTTCTCTTTCAAAAGGAACATGTACTTGCTTCTTCAGGGTCTTTGATTAACTTTGAATTTTCTATGCATGCAGAGCTTACATCCAATGGCTGAATATCATGGTGCTGCACGAGCAGTAGGGGGATGTCCTATTTATGTCAGGTGAGTAGTGATCGATGATCATGCCTTCTTTTTTCAGTAGTTTCTGAATTGGATAAATGATATCTTACCTAAGGATGTTTTTATATTGTGCAGTGACAAGCCTGGACATCATGACTTCAATCTTTTGAAGAAGCTTGCACTACCTGATGGTTCTATATTAAGGGCTAAACTTCCAGGAAGACCAACAAAGGATTGTTTGTTTACTGACCCTGCTAGAGATGGAAAAAGGTGAAGAATCCAAAATGATTTGACTACCAAAATATACTTGACCAATTGATATAGTATCTAATTCTTTACTTTCCACTAAAGAATATAGTATGTAATATTTTTCTTAACTCAATGAGTGCTGTTTTGCAGTCTCCTGAAGATTTGGAACATGAATGATTTTTCTGGAGTTGTTGGGGTATTCAACTGCCAAGGAGCTGGGTGGTGCAATGTTGGCAAGAAGAACCTTATCCACGATGAGAATCCAGGCACTGTCACAGGTGTCATTAGAGCTAAAGATGTTGACTATTTATCCAGGGTAGCAGATGATAAATGGGAAGGAGACACCATTATATTTTTTCATGTTGGAGGTATGTTTTAAGGCTTGAAATGACTTCTAAAGGTTTCAAAATGAACCCAAATTTTCTTTTGTATAATGGTCTTTTTATGATGTCATTTTGCAGGAGGAGTGGTTTACCTTCCAAAGGATGCATCTATTCCAGTTACCTTGAAATCACGAGAATATGAAGTTTTCACAGTTGTTCCCGTGAAGGAGTTGGACAATGAAATAAAATTTGCTCCTATTGGTTTAATGAAGATGTTCAATTCAGGAGGGGCTGTAAAAGAGTTGAATTTGGGGTCTAATGGAAGTACAAATGTAGCCATGAAAGTCCGTGGATGTGGCCAATTTGGTGCTTATTCATCATCTCGGCCTAGGTTGATAACAGTTGATTCAGAAGAGGTGGAATTCAATTATGAGGAAGAATATGGATTGTTGACTATTGACTTGAGAGTGCCTGAGAAAGAGTTATACCAATGGAGCATTTCTATTGATTTTTGAATCGGAGATTTTGTCTCCAGATTCCGATGAGGGGGTTATAGACTTATAGGGTATCCATAGTTGGTGACAATTTGATGAATGTTGTAGAGTAGTGGCAGGAAATGCTTATGGTTCAGTGTAACCTACCGGAAGCAAATTAATGAATGTTATTACAATGTTTTCTACCTGTTTCTCGTAATATATACGAGAATGCAGATGCCCAAGAAAAATTTCTTGAGCTGGCTTATATTTCCTATTGGCAAGTAAATCTAATAGAAACTTTTTATTAATAAAAAGTAATTACACTATCATATTTCACATGTAATAAACTTTTTCTTAATAAAAAAATTTACTTTTAATTTTTTAAATTTAACTTTAAAGATTGATGCTAACAAATTTTTATAAAATAACTAAGAAAACTATTTTTTAATTGTGGAATTAATTAAAGAAATATGATTGACACAGAAATTCATAAAGTGTGTAAAAAAAAAAGAAAACGTGATTTTATGAGAGAGGTTAAGTGCACAATTTATGATATATGAATGAAACTAATCAGAAAGGCTTTAAAAAAAATGATTAGACACTTGAGATAAAATTAAACTAAATTATTTTCAGCCTGTTCATTGATGTAAATTCTCCAAAATCACTTGACAATTGGCTTTCCAATTATTGTACTATCGTATATCACATTCCTTTACTTTTTTAAATTGACAATCGCTCCCAAATGTTAAATGCCAATCCCATGATTTCTCCAAAAAAGTCACTGCTATTGTTTATTTTTATTCACTTGACACTCATGCTGTGTGATTGTTTTGACAACAAGTAATAAGTTGAGTTCTGAGAAAATTGTGATGGTGCCTTTAGGGTGGAAGCTTCTTGTTAGTGAGGCCCAGAAAGTCATGTAAATGTCATTGCTCTCAAATCTGGGTCGGTGATAATTTGTTTCCCAATCAAAACTTGCTTAGTGCAAATATATACCACCTTTCCAACAATCCGAATCACCCATTATTCCATGTATATCCAACCTTCACCTTACCAAACCAAAGATCATTTTTTTAAAGGAAAAAAAAACTGTTAATGATGTGTCACCATGTCCATGTCTGCATCCATGCTATTCACACGTGTAGACACAAAAAGCTGCCACCTTTGATCTAAAATTGACACCTTTCAGAACTTTGAAGCATTATTCAGCAACTTCACATGCCTAAATTATAAAGTAGTGTAACACTATCACTGAAACAAAGCAGCAAAACAAAAACCAATGGCAGATTACAATCAACAAGTTCAATTTGGTCACCAACCACGCCAACTTTCCATCATGACGGTGCTATCTGCATCAGTGGCAGCTATAGCCATAGGAGGACCCATGTTGGCGATGATGGGATTCAGTTTTTTGGTGTCCACCACGCTTCTTGTGGTGTGTTCACCCCTTTTCTTGCTCTTTAGTCCCTTGCTTGTGGGTGTTGGCCTTGTGTTTGTGGGAACATTGGTTGGTTTTGCTCTTGCTACGGTTATGGCTCTCACTGGTCTTTCAATTTTCGGATGGCTTACTAGGGAAATTAGAGTGAGGATTGGGGGTTTGAGCAAGTTGAGGGAGCAACCCCACATCATGAAGAGAAAGAGAGGGGATTATTGGACTGATAATTTTGCAACAAACACAGCTTAAAGGGTGTAATTGAAGTATAGAACCAAAGCATGGTTATGGTGTCGGCTGTCAAGTGTTAACTGATATTATTGGAGCACAAGTGAAGAGAGTATCTAGTCACCTTTTCTGTTTTTTCTGTGTTTTTTTGTTGGGGGTCCAAATTAAAGAAGGCCCAAATTCCTTTTTCTTTTGATGTCAATGTAGTAATGTTTGATGCAGCCTTTTGCTATATTATTTTTATTTTCTTTTTTTGTTGCCCTGACCCTGATGTAGGGAATTGTCTTACCTTCTGCTTTTACTGTTTTATATATATATATAATGTGTGTTATAATATTGATGTTTTGAAAACCCTTAACCCGGTTTAAGCTTGGGTGATTCTTAATTACAAAATGTTATATTTTATTGTGATACAAACTCAAAAGATAGTTGAAATAGGATTCAAATCTAGGTTTCTCTTGGGAATATGAGATGCATTTCATTACTAAGCCTATTCAATTTGTGTAATAGGTGATTATTTTATACATTCAAATACTTTAAAATCAATTTCATTAGTAAAAATATACGCAGTGAACTGTATATTGAAATATATTTAGACAATATTTTTTTATTTATTGTATTTTTTTTTCTAATGTGTAGACTTCTCTCATGCATAACAAATTACTTCCATCACATAAATAATAAAATATATGCATTTCAATAAGGATTTAGAGAAAATAGAAGAAGTAAATTAATCCAATAAATAAAATAATTGTTAATTAACAGATAAAAATGTTATAATAAGATGGTAAACTTAATTTTTTTAAAAAATACTTACTCTTAATATTCTTGTATGTTTATTAATAATTCATAATAACCATTTGCATCACATAATGGGCACATACATAACACCCTTTTATGTAAATTTAGAATGGTTATATGGCTAGTATATGTGTAGTGGGAAGCACGTAACTTTTTCCAAGTCGTATCTTAACGATTGTGGTTATGATCCAACAATAGAATAAAGAGAGATTATCAAACATGGTTATGATTGGCAAACGGCACTTTAGAAGTGTTCTTGTTTGAGTGGAAAATCTCAAGTTTTGAAGAGAAAAGCATTTGCTATGTTATAACTTGTGGCTTATTGCATCGTTTATTTCAGCAAAGGGAAATTTTAGGTGCACAAGTAATTGCTTAATAAGAGTTGGCGCAATTATCACGTTATTTTTCAAGTGTAAATATAACAGAGATAAATTATAGTGTCAGACAGTCATATATACATTATGTTGGATTAAAAATTATATTAAATCAAGATCTAAATTATTATAAAGCTACCAAAACATTACTCTTGAAGTATGTATATATGTTCGGCAAAGAGCTAACTCTACTGTAGACCCAAGCATTGAAATTTTTTTAGCAGTTCCATTCACCACGAAGTTCTTCAGTATGAATGCATGCATACTAATTTATGTTTGGTGATTTGTTTTTGGTTGATTAAGAGGGATGTTTAAATTTAATATCTAACCTTGTTTTGAATAGAATTAACACTTTCTTTTCTAACAAGCAACTGCTCCCCCCTAGCTTGTTTATGATATACTGGATCAAGTTATTGCGTGTTGGAACTCAGAAAAAAGAATCATTTTGCTTGGCTGCAAGTAAAGTTCAACCGTGTTTTCTTTATTCTTAGAGTAGATGGTTTTCTTTTACAAGTAAAGACTTATATAAGAGTGATATTAATTAAAAACATATAAAAAATTTCACAACTTGTGTCCAATCCTCTGACATTTTACAACTACGTATTATTATATATAATTCAATACACATAAAATTCAATATCATAAATTAATTAACTCTCTATTTTTAATACGTTTTATTTTGACAATATAAGTTATTTATTGTTATCTTTAAAATTGAAAGTAATTCAATCTTTTATTACATGTAAAACGAGGACACGACTGTTTATTTTTTAGATTATAACTAAAACTTTTATGTATTAATAATTGATAATCATAAATGTAAAAGGGTTATGTTCTGATCACGAAGACCAGACGCTGAGGGCCATTAGTTAGGTGTTTATATATAAATATCAGAAACGCTTATTATATGTTCATGCACAACTCACTCCTGGGGATCATTGAGGAGCACATCGATGAACCTTGAAGCTATGGATGAGGAATCATTAGAGAACTCGCTCTTGATTCCAAGCTTTTCTTCCCGCAATGTGTTAGGAGAACACCCTCTTAGGAGAACAGGTATATCTATAAATTTATGTTATAAATAATAGTTTATGTCATAAATTTAGTAATTAAATGGTAGTCCTCGTTATAGTTTTCTTATCCTCGATCGTTAATCTTCAGACATTCATTTACAATGTATATAAGCTCTGTCTTTCCCACCAAGTAGATAGCATTGAATGGTAGTCCGAGTTAGATACAGAAACCCTGAAATATTTGTTGGACTGATTGGTCTGTGAATGGCGGGTAGCAGCTGAATAGTTTTTTGTTTTTTTTTTTCAGTTTTAAATATTCCAATTTTCATCTTAAAATACGATTTGTTAACGAGTGCCGTGTTTATTAAGAATTTTAATTAGTGACAACTAAATAAAAAAGAAGAAGAATTCAACAGGTTAAAAACCCAAAAATTGAGTAATTGATCACATTTAATAAAAACATTTCATTCTCGTTGATAAATATTTTAAAAAGCATTTATAAAAGAGGAGTTTAGTATAACTAAACACCTAATCTAATCAGTAAGAAATTATGTTTATTTAAAGTAAAATTTATGATATCTTTTATAATTAAGAGACTCACTCTTACACGTGAAACAATTTTAATCGTAAATTTTAAATTAATAAATAATTTAATTAAAAAAATATTAATATTTTTTTATTTTTAAGCTATTAAAAAATTACAACTATTAATTTAAAAATATATAGAAGAAGATTTCTCTAGTTTACAAGTACTATAGTTAAAAAAAAATAGTTTATTTTCAAAAGAAAAAGCTGTCTCTTTCATGATAACTCCAAGTTTAATTTATGGGCGTGATTTGCAAGGTAATGTGTGGAGCGCGGTGGCACACATAATAACAGGCGTGATAGGAGCAGGGGTGCTGTCTCTAGCATGGTCTGTGGCACAGTTGGGGTGGATTGTTGGTCCCATCCTCACTATACTCTTTGCATTCAGCACCTTTTTTTCAACCTACCTTCTTTCTGACTGCTACAGATACCCTCATCCTCAACATGGCACCATTAGAAGCACCTCCTACATGGATGCTGTTAAGATTTATTTGGGTAGGTTCATGCTGTTAAGATTTTTTCTCATCAGAATTTTCCTGTGAAATATTATTAAATCAATGGCTTTGAATATATGATTAAGAAATTAATATTGTAATGAATTAGGAGAGATAAGGCGCAAGGTGTGTGGAGTGCTAGTGTTTGTGAGCTTATATGGGACTGCCACAGCCTATGTCATTACGTCTGGTACATGCATCAGGTAATCAGACAAGATCTATGATCTGCAATTTGCACCATTATTTTCAACTCCAATTACGTTATATGAGGTTTCTTAGTTGAAGTTTCAAAACTATAATTTCGACAAAAACTATAAGAAATAAGCATTTAATCAAGTTATAATTTGAGACTTTATATACGAATATCAAAGTGCTCTTAATGGTTCCCCTGCCGTGATGACTTTACATAGCTAAGAAAATGTCAATGTTTTGCTTTGACAAACTTCGATATATGTCATCTCATAGGAAGAATAGTATACACGAAAAACAATTTTAAGTGAATAACATGTTTTTTAACGAATAATATATAATTTTTTAAACAAAAGTTTCGTAGAGCTTCATTTTAAAAAGGACAAAGCTTTTGTCTTATTTTATAATTGTTGTCAATTTGTACAAAATAAACTTAAATTTTTATATTAATAAAATTTTTGCATATAATATTATTAGGATAAAATTCTAATTTTGATCGATAAACGACACCAACGATATTAAAGAAACTGCACCTAAATTTTTTCATTTCAAAAATTTAAAAAATATCTAGATAAAGGGCATCTCCGTTTACGAAATCAAAGTTGAAAATAAAATCAAGCTTACAGTAAACATTTCTTTTATAATTGTTTCAAATTTGTATAAGGTGATTTTTGAATCATGATAGTTTATTATTTTATTTTATTGAGACCATGATGGTTCATTATTAATAATCTCTAGATACATTATATTTCTTTTTATCGTGTTTATTATTATTCAAATTTGCTCTATCAACGTTTCCTAGTAACGGGCTGGGCTAGGTTTTATGGGTGTATTATAGTTACTAGGCTCAGCCCAAAAAAATCTCAACCTAGTCAAAGAATACATACAAGTTTTGCAGTGTGCCCAAGAATTATTGACCATTTAACCAAAAACAAAAAACCAAATAGCATAAACCATTAGGGTATTGCAATATTGTACTAAACAAAATTGGTGCCAAGAGGAACGAGTATATATTAGTGGTTAAATATTAAATTAAAAATGCAAAATAATTAGGAAGGGACATAAATCACATGGGCCACGATCATTGCAGCATTTCTTGAAATTCTGCATGCTCCTTGAAATTCTGTACTACGCAGCAAATTTCGACCAATAAATTGTTAGGAGCAAATTGCAATTTAAAACTATAGGTTTGAACAGACCTTGTTCATATCGACTGAATATAAGTTACTAGTAATATTGAAACAAACACAAATTTATAAATATTTAAATGCAAATTCAAACGCGCTATAAGCAATTTTTTTTTTCTTCTGTTATCAACACGCCATAATCATTTAAAATGTAAATTGAAACACACTATTAACAGATGATCCAACTCTGACTTCGGATGAGGACCAAACCTGCTACATTAACGTATATAGACCGAAACTACTGAGAAATTTTGCTCATTCACGTTGTAATTATGGCAAAAAGTAAACACTAGGTTCCTTGAGCATATAATGGCCCCAATCTATAATAGAGTTTAAAGTCAGAGCAGTACAATTATTGAACTTAAGAATGATGTTGCTTTTACGGTAATAATTCTACATATTTTTCAATGGAATTAATAATTTTGTGTACGTTCTTGCGTTGAAGTGTGAATGGAGCACAACAAACTGGGCCTTTTAAGTATGATAATGATAAGGACCACAATGGCACTGATTTAAGTCCATTTTTGGCCACCTATTCTACATATTCTTCAATGAAATCAAGACTTGCCATACGTTCCTTGAAGTCAAAAAAGGTAGACGCAAAATGCCTTAGGTATATGATAATGAACGGTTGGAAAATATGAGCCATAGACGTTCCAAATGGCAACAATTTTTAAGAGTGCTTTCAATTCAAAGGATATAATTCAGGGAAATGCCAATATTCTCAAACTCCACATAACTGTTCTGTATTTTCAGAATATTCTCAATCTTCCAACACTACCCCTCCTCACGAATAAGTTGACTAAAAGAACGCACGTTTAGAGGACATAAGCTATTCTTGGTAGCTTTAAAAGAAAGCACGCTCAAGGGTGATAGACGCATAACTTAACATGTGCTGAATCATTTTCGCTGTCTTGAGCATAGAGACAACATACTCCACGAGAACATGACAGAGCCATTATTTGGAAGTTCTAATGATAAGTGCATGGTCTTTCATTAAAAGGGTACCTCCAAAGCTTATCCTCATACCCTATACACCCTCTTAGCTTCACAGAATCTACGTCATCTTTGCATCCTCCTTCTAAATTTCATGAGCATGTCACATGCATACTAAAATTATGTAAGTAACCAAGCATACACATAATTTTCAATTCAAGTAGGTAAGATATAGTTTGTCCAATTGTCATTAACTGTTAGTCATTTACAGTGAACTCCATTGGGTTGTATGCTTTGATAAGAATGGCATTTCAAAACTCTCTCCAAATAACTAGGAGCGGTTCTCGCACTTATGATGATGATGGGCGTGCCAAGAGGACTGGTATGGTAAAATTCTTTTGGACCATACCATAACCATAACCATTCCATTTTCATATTCTTGAATTAGAGTCCTGAAATTTTAGTCCTTCATCAATTCTACCAGGAACTGCATGGAGTGCGGTGGCTCATATCATTACAGCTATTATTGGTGCTGGTGTTCTTTCTCTTGCATGGAGCACTGCCCAATTAGGATGGGTTGCGGGACCACTCGTGTTGCTTTTTTGCGCATTTGTCACCCTAATTTCTTCTTTCCTCCTATCTGATTGTTACAGAACTATGGATCCTGTAAGTGGGAAAAGAAACTACTCTTACATGGATGCTGTTAGAATCTATCTTGGTACTTCCTTGCTCTTGCACAATCACTTTACCCCAAGTTCAGATTGGTTCCATTGAACTGTCATCTAATTGTGTTTATTAGTTTAGGCGATAAAAGGACATGGTTGGCTGGTTCCCTTCAATATTTGAGCTTGTATGGGGCTTGTACTGCTTATGTTATTACCACAGGAACCTGTTTGAGGTACTTTTCCAGTTAAATCCCACGTAAAATGAGATCGCCATGATTTATATGCTATTATGAGTTCGTGTTTCAATTATTACTTGCATCTGTTGCTTTTCTATGAAGTGTTATATTAGAGATATTGGCTTAGTTATTTATTTGTTCATTGTTCTAATCATACATGGTCTTTCTTCAAATCCAGAGCGATTCTGAAATCAAATTGTTATCACAAGGAAGGGCATGATGCTCCTTGTAACTATGGGGATTCCATGTACATGGCGATTTTTGGCGTTGTTGAGATCGTAATGTCATTCATACCAGATCTCCACAACATGGCATGGGTTTCAGTTGTTGCAGCCATAATGTCCTTTTCATACTCATCTATTGGTTTAGGACTTGGCATCAAAACAGTAGTAGGTGAGGTTATTTTTCATAATTAGAATTCAAGGTCTCCTTTATTTGTAAATTCAAAGAGCTAAAAGACAACAATGGAATTAAACTTATTGTTGAACTTGCAGAAAATGGAACAATTATGGGAAGTGTAACAGGAGTACCAACTTCAAATATAGCTGACAAGTTATGGTTAGCTTTCCAAGCACTTGGTGATATTGCCTTTGCCTATCCATTCACAGTTATCCTCCTTGAAATACAGGTACCCTTCATATTCCAATTTGGTGGGAAAAAGGTGTATGGGACACAAGACACAATTTACTTTTGAAGTAGAGTATTGATGTTATTTATTTATTTATTTTTTATTTTGACTGAAGGATACTTTAGAGTCTCCTCCCCCAGAAAATAAGACCATGAAAAAGGCCTCCATGATTGCTATCCTCATCACAACATTCTTCTACCTATGCTGTGCATGCTTTGGATATGCAGCTTTTGGAGATCAAACACCAGGAAACCTCTTGACAGGATTTGGATTTTACGAGCCTTACTGGCTCATTGACTTTGCTAATGCTTGCATCGTGCTTCATTTGGTGGGAGGGTATCAGGTATTAGTGCTACTAAACAAAGTTGACAAACACTGACAAGATCATAAATGAGACAGCTATTAGACAGCTATATTATTAAATGATCTTTATACATTATAATTGAGACAGCTCACACTAATTCCAATTTCATGAAAGATTCGGTATTAGGTCGGTGGTATTGTGGTTTGATTAGAAAATTACCACTTGCTTCCCGTATATTTTAGTGAATAACCAAAACTAATCAGGTTAAAAGAAGCATTAATTCTAACGCATAGCACATATACAATATACTTAATGATCAGGAGAGCATAAAAAATATTCACTAACTTTTTCTTTTCAAGGAATTCCTTATGAATTTCCAATCATGCCTTTTTCAGAAGAAATCGTTTATATAATCTTTCTTGGAAAAATAAAATAAATTAAACAATAAATTTTAACTTATCTGAATTTTTGTCCATATGCAAGATACCCGTATACTGTAGTGATAATGTTATTATAACTAAAGGCTCAACTACCCCATGGCTGTATTATTTCACTGTCTTTCACGATACATAACAAATCATAATTGTGATTCTTGTATGTGATTTTTTCATCAGATTTACAGTCAGACAATATATGGTGCTGCTGACAGATGGGGTGCAAGAAAATACCCCAACAGTGACTTTGTGAATAATTTGTACCAACTGAAACTGCCTTTATTACCAGCTTTTCAGATAAACATGTTCAGGTTATGTTTTCGAACAGCCTATGTGATTTCCACAACTGGACTTGCAATCCTATTTCCTTACTTCAATCAGGTCCTGGGAGTGTTGGGAGCCTTAAGCTTTTGGCCATTGGCTATATATTTCCCAGTAGAGATGTACTTTGTGCAGAAGAAAATTGAAGCTTGGTCTAGCAAATGGATTGTCCTTCGGGTATTTAGCTTTGTTTGTTTGCTAATGTCATTACTGGGTCTAGTTGGATCGCTTGAAGGAATCATAAGCCAGAAACTTAGCTGACAAAGGGTGCTTCATTTGTTTTAGTTTGTTACGCGTTGTTGGCTTGTCTTTCATGTAAGTCAGTTTCCAATCGAGGCATTCTGAAATAGTGACATTTATGAAAATAACAGAGTTTTATAAGTTGTTTTTTTTTCACTATATAATTCTTTTAGAGCTAATAAAGGGGAAAGCAAGGATATCTTAAAGTAATCGTAATGCTACCTAAACATACACGCACAGAATCTAGCACTGCTTGTAATAAATGTTAGTTAAAAAGGCTTCCAAATCCTAATCTTAATAAAATAAAGAAACAAATCTAATCTTAATATAAGTTAGCATTTTTTAGTGTACTTGTACGAATCGAGTGCGACACGGAACCATCACAGTTCGTGGCATGTCCACAAATTGAGATTCGACACGCAACCCTTCTTATCATGTCGCTACATAATATAAGTGACCCAGGCTTTTTCCTTTTTGGGGTCTAAATAAAAACACGTTTATAATATAAATAATAACAACCGTGTATAATAATGATAACCCCCAAAGTTGACCAAAAAAATTAAAACCAAACACAGAAGAGGAGCATGTGAGAGATTTATGACCTTGCAGGCTTCACAACGCGAAATTGAAGGGGTTGCAAGTGACAAATGGAGAAAAGGTACAAGAAACGAGTTAAATTTTAAAATAATCTATAAAATGTGGAGAACATCAACTTGCAAATGAATACATGTTAACAATTTTTTATGATGACGTTTGACATAAGAAATTATCGACTCTTAACTTGAAAAAATGAAATTCTCCCAGGATTTAGGATTTTTACCACAAATTTATAAAAGATATTAATCATTATTTTCATAAAAAATAACATATATAAGGTAAATTGTTATAAATAAATTTACTAAATTTATATTCAATTGCTACGAGAAAATTTAATAATTTTATACTCAATTATCATAAGAAAATTTTATTCTTACTCATAAAAATAAAAATAAAATATTCAGGCTTATTTATAAATTAATATTAAATTTGTATATAAAAATATTTTATTCCCTCCTGTTATATTTATATATATATAATATATATAAGTAACTCTAATACATTTTTAATTATTGAATAAAAGTTATTATAAATTATAAAAATAAAACATATTCTCACATTAGTTTTCAAAATATATTAAAATATTTGTCGCCGCGATAGACAATAAAAGATTAAAAAATATAATTGGGCGTTCTGTCTCTTGGGAGGTTCTTCTTCAACCTTGCTTCTCCAATCTCCGAACACACCAAGAAAAAGATGAAATTTTGATTGTTGGGATTTGAAATCTGACAAAATGGGTATGGCTTCTGCGTCAAGTGACGACATCCCTTTGTTACTCACCCAATCCCAATCTCTTGTAAGAACAGGTTCGTTTTTCCTCTCTCTTAAGTGTTTCTGAAATTTGATTTATCTCTCACAATTGAATTTAATTGAATTGAATAATTGTAATTAAAGGAACGGTGTGGAGCGCAGTGGCACACATAGTGACAGGGGTGATAGGATCGGGAGTGTTGTCTCTTCCATGGAGCATTGCACAGCTTGGATGGCTTGCAGGCCCTTTCTCCGTTCTCCTCATTGCTTCAACCACTCTCTTCTCTTCGTTCCTTCTATGCAACACTTATCGTCATCCCAATCCAGAATATGGTCCTCACAGGAGTGCCTCTTACCTTGATGTTGTTCAATTGCATATGGGTATCTTTTATTCTTTAATTGTACAACAAATCAACCACTTAGATAAGTATTCAATTAGATCCTCAATGGGTTGTTACAGGAGTGGGGAATGGACGACTCAGTGGCCTTCTTGTTAATATAAGTTTGTATGGTTTTGGAATTGCCTTTGTCATTACTACAGCTATTAGCTTGAGGTGTGTCAGTCAATTTTTTTTCCCCCCATTTATCTATGGATTGCAAAATCAGAAATTTTCACTGGGAATCCAATACCAAGAATCTCACCGTACCAAAATTATTGTGGCTGCAGAGCTATCCAAAATTCAATATGCTTCCACCAAAAAGGGGATGAAGCAGCATGTGAAATTGTGGATGCTTATTATATGTTGCTTTTTGGGGCTATTCAAATTGTTCTCTCACAGATACCCAACTTCCATAACATCAAATGGTTGTCAGTTGTTGCTGCAATTATGTCTTTTACTTATTCTTTCATAGGAATGGGGCTTTCCATTGCAAAAACCATAGGTATGCTTTCATATCTGATTATTGGAATCTTTCTTTAGGCTCAATGATTGGCTTGTGCGAGGACATTTGCTAGAAAATATATAGATAGAAGTATATAACTTTTTTATGATAATTTACTCAGAAAATGGACATGTGGAGGGCAGCATTGAGGGAATCAGTACCTCTAGTGGAACTGAAAAGCTATGGCTTGTTTCTCAAGCACTTGGTGACATATCATTTTCGTATCCATTCTCAACAATTCTTATGGAAATACAGGTATGTGCCCATTGAACTCAGATAACCAAAATGTAACTTTACGACAGCTCTGGCGAAAATTTTAATAGTTATATAGGCTGATGTAACTTATTACAATCCTTGAAGGATACTTTGAAATCGCCTCCACCAGAAAACCAAACCATGAAGAAGGCCTCGGTAATATCAGTCGCTGTCACAACATTCGTGTACCTCGCTTGTGGAGGTGCTGGATATGCTGCCTTTGGTGATAAAACACCAGGAAACCTTTTAACAGGGTTTGGATCCTCCAAATCTTACTGGCTTGTAAACTTTGCTAACGCTTGCATAGTGATTCATCTAGTTGGTTCATATCAGGTAAGTATAAATTAAATTTGTATAAAGATACCGTTGTCAATTTTTAGTATGGTCTTCCCATTTTATCTCTCTTTGATTCCTTTATTCTCCATCATTTGTCCTGGAGTAGCGTGTTACGAAATTATCATTAAGTTTACACATTATCCCAATTCTGCTTTTTGTGATGTATCTGCTGTCTACTCGTATCTAGAATATACGTGTTCATCTAACTCCCATCTACCTTGTTTGGTGCAGGTGTATAGTCAGCCACTTTTTGCCACTGTTGAGAATTGGTTCCGTTTTAAATTCCCAGACAGTGAATTTGTGAATCACACATATATGTGGAAACTCCCGTTGCTGCCAGCTTTTGAACTAAACGTTCTCAGCCTGTCTTTCCGAACTGCTTATGTTGTATCAACAACTGTGATTGCAATGATCTTTCCATACTTCAATCAGATTTTGGGAGTTTTGGGTAGCCTTATTTTTTGGCCGTTAACTATACATTTTCCAGTGGAAATATACTTGAATCAGTCAAGTACTGTAGCTTGGACGACTAAGTGGGTCCTGCTTCGGACTTTCAGCATTTTTGGTTTTGTGTTTGGACTGTTCACTCTCACTGGATGCATTAAAGGAATAGTAACTGAAAAAATAGGCTGAGAAGCTTTAATATCTTTTCGGACTCCAGGTATTGGAGCCAAGGAATTAGATTCAAATAGCATTCTATTTATTTCCTTTGAAAACCCACATTAAACATTCAGATTCTCTCTTTTACATTAGGAGGATTTTGATGTAGAAAAGCATAAGATTTTGCGGGGAACACTGATGAATGTAAGGATTTGCTATTCAGGTATTCCAAGAATATAGCTGTGCGACGTGATTCCGCTGCACAAGCTTTATGCCATACCTGACGTGCTTCATCGCATGATTTTTTGAGAAACTAGTCAATTTCGTGTATTTTGAGAGGTAATTCTTAAGATGTAAATTGTTGCCATGGAAGCAGTGTTGTGCATCGCAGGTTTTAAGTTGGAACTACACCCTCACGTTTGGTTTGGCACCCCGCTAGACCTCAGGAAGGTGCCTTCAAGTGGAATAGGTGAACTCAACACTCCTATTTCCTCAACCACTATGTTAAACAAATAAATTGAAAGTGGACTATTCTATTCCTTGGGAAAAATTCCAGTACTATCTTTTATTTTGTTTGAATGTCTTTATTGATTGATACTGTCAAGATCACAGCTAAATTGTTGGGAGAAAACATTAACGAGACTATTTTTGAAGCAAAATTCTTGTATTCTTGCGACCTCCTCCAAAACATCATTCGTGTTTTGATTACCCAATTGTTATTGTAAGCTTTGTTAACGTCACAAAATCAACCTTAGTTGACCAATAATCTGATCACACTGAAAAATAAAAGTGAAATGGCAAAACCCAAAGACGATCGATAATGCAATCATGCGGTGATTCTCTCATATGATCTCCCATATTTAACATTAATAAGCGGTGAGATGAGTAACATATATAATGCTGCCAAAGGAGAGAGTCAGTAGAACAAAGCCCGTGATCTGAGCGTCCATCCAAGTTTGACTTCGCTAACTACTATCTTTGTACAAAATAAAATAAAATAAAATAAAATAAAAACAGAGAAAAGAATGAACGATTGGTTGACTTCAACGATACAGGTAACATAGTCCAATCAATCATTCTTATTCCCATATCATTAACACCGGAAACAAAGCCAAGAATGATTTGCCGCATGCTAATTGACAATATGTTTACATATACATAACGAACCTACTATTTCACTTGGATACAAACCAACCTTAGCATCATCCATTCATCCCCATGCAGTAACTTACTGAATAGCAAGACGCCTCTGTGACATGTGCTCAGATGAGATGCTTCCTCGTTGTTGACTAGAACAGTCCCCTTCCTCCACTCTTTCACCTGAGTGCAAACAAAAAATTGATGATGATTGCAAACCATTATGATTATGGTAGGACCCTCTACCATTTGCATAGTTTTGTTCGTCAAATCTCTCGTGCACTTTAGTTCCTCTTGCATCTTGTTGCACACTTGGAGAGTTCCAAGTCTCAGCAGAGTCAGAGGGCAAAGGTTCAGAACCAGATGAACTAACTGATTGTGACGATGGGACCGGACCAGTTCCCATATCCTTTTCCTTGATCATGTGGTGTGAAGCCTCCCCTTCAGTTTTCTTTGCAAAACGTCCTCCACTGCCCCTTGCTCTTCTCATAGCATGCTGATGCCGAGATTCATGAAGATATGGCTGTGAACAAATAGAAGTTAGCATATCCCAGAAGAGGATTCCAGATTTGCATGGACACAATATTAAGCATTCGTACTATACTAGAGCCAACCTGTCTCATTCAAAACAATTTTGATTTTTTACATATATCTGAGTAAACATTAATGAAAATCTGCTCCTTAACATCTAATCCTTCTTGCTTTAGAGAGTCTTTTGGGGTCCAAAGTATTAAACATTAAGGCTAGCGAACACTCTGCACTAAATTTTACACTGATTTTAAAATGTTTAAAGGTCTATGTTACTAGATTTCCAATTGTCTTACTTTGATCCTATCCTTGGTAGATATACACTAACTCCTCTGTGTCAAATGAAAAAGTTTTAGCCTAGCAGAATCGAAATTGGTTGTAGAACAGCATAAAAAAACATACTAGAATAAATATCCCAAACCTGAAATGTGTTTAGATATCACTTTTCAAAAAAGATAAAGCAGCACTCAAACTAAAGAGTAACAACTATGCATACGGAAGCATCAGCTGGTGGACATTTGTACCTTTCTGACTTTTATTAATTTTTTTTCAAGCTCTGCTTTAGCACGAGCCTGTCTTCGTCTCAGAATTCCTTGATATTGTTTGGCATTCACATACACAGGCTCTTGAGCCATCTCAAGGGGCAAAGCCATTCTGGCATGAGGAATTCCCATAAAAGGACCATATCCCTAATAGTGAAAATACAATATGGTTATTTATCACAATGATACCCCAATAGCACCATTGTTTGATACAGGAAAATAGACCAAACAGCATGAAACAAATTTTTCATATAACATGAAGAATCTATCCTTCAGGAAAAGGCACCAACTACATTTCTTACCAGACTGATTTATGAGAAATCAGATCAGTGAGCCTGACAGACTACATGTAGAAATTTTTTTATGCATGAACACTAGTTAGTCTCACATACCATCTGCTGGTGCGCATATGCTGCCATCATGCCCCCATAATAAGGATCCTGATAAGGATTTGAAGCACATGCCTGCAGTAAAAGAATTAGAATAATCCATTACAAAAAATGCACAATGCAACAACTTTTTCCACAATTGATTCTTCATCATTAGGTATGCAAGACTAGGCAAAAAGATTTATGCTATAAACACATAAAGATAAGAACTTTGCACCTTGTCTTGGTGCTAAATAATGATGATAAAGAAAAAACAAATCCAAAGCCTTACAATTGAGTGACCAACAAGTTCCAACTGTGGAGCCTGTGTAAAGCAATCATCACGCACTGAAGGCACAAATGATGAAGAATGCTGCATCCCCTGGTGTTCTTGTCCATAATTTCCTACCAAGAATTGAACATTGTGTTTCAGTCTCCCCATAAAATTTAACATAATTGAGGCACCAAATGTAAGTAGAAGTTCTATTTACGTATTTTAATGTTTGTATTTTTCTTTACAATGAAGTCTAAAGTACCGGATTGATTAGGAGCAATGGGTTGTGATTTAGTGGCATCATCATCTTCCTCATTCAACCCATTATTGGATAAAGATTGATCTTCACTAGATACTGAATCACCACTAGGACGTTCAAGTAAGGATGAATTGGATGCATTTGCCCCTGACATTGCTTGGGAGACAGGATTCTACTAAATGCCTCACCACCGGGTTTCAGAATAAACACTGTTAGGTGTAAAGGAATGTGGATCAGACCTCAGTTGATTTGCAGTTTCAGATTTGGATTGCATATCTCATTTTCAAATCCCTACAAAATTATATTGGATATACAAATTTTATTCATTTTGCCAAAACAAAGGCAAGATAAATAAAAGTCAATACAGACAGTGATTATTCCCCTTTACAATAAGAGACCCTCCAATGGCATTAAAAGAATGAATAAATAAAGTATTTATGAAACAAAATCATGTGATTAAATGAAAGCTGTTGCCGCAAATGTCTCAGAAACATTAATATACAACCTTTTACGGGTAAAAAATTATCAATATGATATCAAGCACAATTTATAGGAAGTCTCAATAGTTTTAGTTCTTAGATTTAGTAATGAATAAAAGATTTAGAGAAAAGTTAAACGAAAGTGTGTAAAAAATTGAGATCACAAGAAACTTATAAATGAGGGAAATAACAATGTCATTTGAGCCTGTGTTGACAACTGGGGCGACATTGGAACACAACTCCAATTGAGACCTCTTTACATTTCCTCTTTTTCCATAATTTTAAAAGGTTTGAAAAACGTCATCTTTTGATAATGTAACCATGCATCATGCTGCTTGATAATAAAGCCACAATAAAACATCTCGTAGCTCGTGTGTATAAAATTATAAAACATGCAAGTTAAAGAAAATTGAAAACCCCTTATCAAAATTATTATAATTCATCATGAAAAGATCATACTTGTTAAGGCAAGCAGAGGCTTAAAACAAATAATTTTCATTTTGCTCATACTTGATCTTCTGCGAGAATCGTAGATGCTTAAAGAAGAAGATAAAGTATTTAAACTCCAAACCAACAACAAAATATTTCTGGAAGAACAAAATCCTAAAATTCAGCAACGTTTGTTTTTGCCATGTTTAGTCACAAAAACAGCACCAGGGGATACTCCCACATGCAACCTTGGCGATCAGTCAGAGAAGCAAATAAATACTAGCTAGTGAGCTCTATTTGACAGAAATATCAACAAATTTTGAACTTTATTTGACCCCAGAACAAGCTCCAAAATCCCAATTCTCCCCCCTTTTTTCCCATATTTGCTACCAACCCAGCACAAAAAGAAATTCCCCACATCACATGCCACCAGAAAGGATAGGTTTGGGGTGATACCTTGCCAGAATTCACACATGCAAAACACAGAATAATTCCACCTAGATTACATAAAGACATCCCCAACCAAAAACCCTAATCCTCAAAATGTCTCCAAAAGAGAATGAATCACAATCCAATTAAATTCCTCGGCTGACTAAGGAGATACATAAAAAAAGAGAGGGGGGGGGGGGGGGGGGGGGGGGAGGGCAATAACTTTGCTTACCTTAGATATTGGGATTTTGGTATCTCAGTTCACTTCTGAACTGAGCATTGAGAAATTGATGACAATAATAATAAACAATGAAAGTGAAAATAAAAACAATAAACAAAAAAATCTTAACAAGACTAGCAAGTCCAGTGTTGCCCGTTTAAATTTCAAGTGACGTCTTATGATGACGTCATCGCATGTGGGCCCGTGGTCGTTCTCAGAAGGGACACGTGGATTGAATGAGAGGGAAAAGTAGGGCCGTTACGAGTGAGATGGGGTGGGTGAGGTTATCATAGCCTCCTAAGAAGAAAAATGAAACTAAATTTCTGGGCCACGTGACACGCACTTGACCAGCAGAATACAAGGAACGCGTGGCCTTGTAGTGGGGACCACACCGTCCCAGAATTGGAGCAACATCAGCCACGTGTCCCTCTTCCTTTGCAAACATCTTTTTTAGTTTCCTGGGATCAATTATTGATTCTCCACCTTATAAATTTCCTCAGTTTCTTTGCTTCAAAATGTGGGAAAAGGTAACCCTCACCTGCCAGTCACATTTCCAATTTCATTTTTTTAAGTGTTATCTTTTATTTGAGACAATTTTGCATCATATCTGAATGTTGTCAATTAAATTTTGTGACTTTTAATATTTTTTTCTCTGTTTGTCGGTTTGATATTTTCTTTACTCCTGCCAATTTAAGGGCTTCTTTTATTTTTCGATTTGTTTAAAAATAGTTCAATGTATTTGTCAACGTATGAATTTAGTTTTTTAATTATGTTGATTCAATGGTTGTTTTCGTTTCAGATGACATCCATCCACCTATATTGCTATAATAAATTAAGTGCAGAGATGGGCTCCACGTGGCAGCCCAGAAAAAAGCAATGAGTGCACGACTTTAATTTTATCATTGCAATTGGTAAAGTATCCTTTGGTGAGGTGCAGTTGTCAACTTAGTAACTTATAATCTGCAAGAAGAGAACAAAAGATTGCAGCAATCGCCTAGTTTTGGGTTTTGTTTTTGGTCAAACTTATAGTCCATTGCTTCTCCATTAAGTTTTTGTCAACATAGTTTATAACTTGTACCAAATAAAAGTCCATGCCAGAGCATTTGTTAGCCCAAATGGCAATGAAATATGACCAAACAAGACACCGCAGTCCACAACCCACTTAAGGTGTTCACGGCCCGATCGACTGACACAGTTGCCACCTTCAATTTCTTAGTTTTTTATTGACCGAAAAAGAAAAATTTTCTTAGTATTTTTACTTTCAAAATCAAATCAAATTCGGGTGTTACTCCAATGTTCAACTAAATTTTCTTTCTGACCACCCATGAAAATAAAAAAGTCGCTTCATTAGGTTTTAATTTCCTTGGTGTGTGAGAATGTTGAAATAGTTAATTGATTTCACAAAATGCATGTAATGCAAACTATGACTGCGACGACTTTATGCCGGTGATGATGCCTTTCAGGGGGGGGACATTAATTGAAGATTATTTCTTTCGTATTTGTATACCGTGATTTGTGGAATTGAATGGTAAATGAGGTCTTAAGCCAACTTAATCATGATTATTTACCTATTAAAAATTCACTTCATTTTAATTCTATCATATTAACATACTGAATGAGAAAATATACATCTTGATCTAGGTGGATCAATCAATATAGTTTGAAGGAATTTTTGTTTTGGAATTGTTGGTCTCTTATACTCTTGGAAAACTGAACAAAAAATACTGTATAATGCGAAAACTTTAGTCATTTATGAACATTGATTAAAACAAAACATATACATTAGAGGTGGCGTGATTGCCGTCAAACTCTTATTTTTTATTAATATTATTTTTCAACTTATTCCTCAATCAATGAAATACATCCACCTTTATTTTTCAAACTCTTTTGTACTTAATAGCAATGCTGAAAAAAGAAAAATAAATAACAATTAGGCAGTGCATGCATTAAGATGAATTAATACAGATGAAGCAAAGTAAATTTTAGTAACCAGGGAAAAGGAATTACTGGCCACCTTGTCTTGCTATAGTAATAATATACACCTGGCTTAAATATGGATTTAAGTGAAAGCAGATACTGCACTAGTTTCTGCTGTTGATCTCTTTATTTGTTTCTTACTAGTTCGCTCATATTTTTTCACCCTCAATCATATATAGAAGCGTAAAAGAATATCGTTGATGGTTTATAATATATAAGTAGTAGTATTGATGATGAATAATGGGATGGATGAAAATAAGTTACTTGATCGTTACTAACTAGTCAGAGTTAAATCATATGACACAGACATGAGAAAGAAAGGAATTCTATACATATCACTTTTTTTTCATATTACAGACTAAAGAGACATTTCAATTTGTGGCCAAAACTTGATAAATAGCACTTTTGGTCTATTCGGAACTTGGAATTTCTGTGATTGAATTTGTTTTGAAAACGAAATCAATTATGGAGTTGAAAAATGCAAAATAATAACAATTGAAAAAGTCAGATTGAGATTACTCATATGAACACGTAAGGCATGCCATGACAAAAGCTATGGCATGAAATTTTGTATGTGAAAGAATGCTGACAGTGTTAAGTTCATGAAATTCAACTTGTGTGTTGATCACTCCAACCGAGTTAAGGCATAACATTATTCACACATTGAAGAGGTTCATGGTTGAACCAAACAGTGCGCAAGAAGAACATCAAAAGTCGATCGTTTTCTTTTTGTTTTTGAACATGCGAGTATGAAAAAAGCCATGCACATTAACTAGTGGAGATAAAGATGAACCACGGAGAAAAAAAAAGCATTCTCATAGGTCAGAGTCCATACCCATTATGGATTTAACAATACTTTGACTCTTTTTCTTTCTGACCCCTTGCTTCAATGTGTGCGTGTTTAGGTAAAAATAATTAAGATAAAGATAGACGATTAGCGACCAAACACATTTAGCTTTTATCTCGTTGGGGACAAGAAAAAGAAGTGGTCATTTCACGTGTATTTCAACATTGGATTCCTCATTTGATTCCGTTGTCTATGCCTACGACGGCGCTTCTATTTTCATCAATCTTTTCTTCCCTCGGAGAATGATTTTATAATTTTTTTGCCCCCCTCAAATATAAAAAACTTTTAGAGCCAAATTTTCCACATCGTTTCTAGGGGGGGAAAAGGTGTTTTTTCAGAAGAAAATATATGTAGAAAAGTATATATTGTTTTAACCTTCAAGGGATTTTCAAACTCATAAAACTTGATAATCGGTATTGATGTCCCTCATATAGATAAAGGTAAGAATTAAGTGTGATTCTAGCTTCTTTTAACTTATAATCAAGTGTGATAATTAATATCATCTATAACTTTTATCTTAAAAATAAATCAACATCAGATATATATATATATATATATATATATATATATATATATATATATAGCATCTTAATGTAATATACAATAGAGAAGAATAAACAACTAAGATTGACAACAAACGCTCCATCATGGCAAATTTTACGAAGCATTTGCAAACAATGATGAAAATATTGAAAAGGTTTATTTGCCTTGATTGATCATATCCTCATTTGTCCATATTGATGCTAACATTAAGGATGCCTTCAAATCCTTGAGATACTTTAGTGTTATGTCTAAATGTGTCTTTGCTGACATGCCAAACGACAACTCTTGCGATGATTGTTCTATCAACGAGGCACAGAGCACATAAGTGATGGAAAAGAGGGGGGTCCGGAGTTGGACTAAAATTATTATTTGTTTGACTCAAAAGATGATCAAACAATTTGATGATATTCTTTCTAAAAATAAAACTTAATTATCTTATTAATTTCACTTGTGAAAGAGCAAGTGGGCATCCTCGGATACTTGAAAAGTTGACATTTTATCAAATTTGATCAAGAAAGATATTTTAAGTTTAAATCACCGACCCATCTCCTCTTTAGGAGAGAAGCATTAATCCGTATCCAAGTATATTCATTATTAACTTTTTATTTTGTTTAACGTGTTTAAAGATTTATAATAAGGATTTACATATAATAATTTTTTATTGAAAAATATATCATTCAGAACATTAATATATTAAATATTATATTCTTGATCAAATATATGATTTTATTGTTCATTTATTCCACGGTATCGGTGCGTGCATGAGAACAGCTACACACGTACGCAGGGGTGCTACAAGCTACTACAAAAGGTGATTTATTAACCAAGAGATAAAAATACATAATTTTAGTAACATTTCGGGGTACACTATCATCAATTGCACTCCTCCCAAGTGGAGCAAGTAGCAGCATAAGATAAAAGCAAAACCACAATTTTTGTTTTTTTGAAGGCTAAGTAAGTCGTTAATATCAAGCATCATGCGACACACATAAAGTGCCTAAAGTAAGTGAAAAACGATGAGAATTTTCTTCTTGGGATTTTCACTCTCTGATATGATATAACAGATGACATTATTACAGACCCGCACGAGAGTCCTTCATTGGATTCTCATATATGTGGGGGCGAGCTCAGAGACACGTATAGTACAGCCACACATCTTAATAAATTATTTGAGTTCCTTAATTACTTTCGATTTCAATAAATTATATTTATACAGTAAATTTATTATTTTTTTGTGTAAGAGAAAAAAGTGAAATACAGTTATTGATGAAAATAAAAATAGTGTAGTGGAAGAGTATTTTATGAAAAATATAACTCATTGTAGTTAGCTTAATTTGATTTGTCTGAAAAAGCAAATACACCCATATTCGCAGTTACAGAAAAGTTACACTTTACTACTGACTTCAAGCAAAATTATTGTATGGTTTGGAATATTTGTTGCTAATCCTTACACAGGTCAAATTTTTTATTTACAAAAAGTTGTTCAAACTTGATCATGTAATAATTTCTCAACTTAAATGTTTTTGCCACTCCCACCTGAATAAAGTCTCGAAAACGCGTGATAAATTTGTAGCCATTAACCGCGTTCCTTGAGAAAACCTTTCATTAAGATCTTGTGTGAAACTGCTGTGATTTTTTATTTTCTTTTCTTCTTTTACACTATCTTTTTCAATTCCTAATCATAATTAACAATTTAACTTTTTATCACGTTAACGTTTTCACTATTGCTTGTGCTAACGTTCACCTCAGTCTAACTAGAAGTCAATAATGCTATTGACCCTCAGCTCATTCTTATAAGGTGCTCAAACTGCAGCCTTTGACGATTATAGAAACTGATTTGAGTCTACTTTATTAATTTTCTAGACGAACAATTACAAACCATTGCCCAAAATTAAATTCTTAAAACTATATCGTGTCAAAAATTGAAGATGATGATTTGAATTTGTTTTTACAACTTTGTTCATTTAAGTTAAATGCAGAACACAAAGTACAGCTCAAAATAAAATTTTCTCACTCAGATAAAAGAAATATGCCACTAAAGAACTCACATAATACGGTGCAGATAGCATTAACTAACTAACTGTGGTCATAAATATCGACACAAGTTTTTAAGCGATAGTGTAGTGACAAGAAAATCAGCATCGGCGGTACAGAAGAGAAGTAGAAGAAGAGAAAATATTTGTAAAAAAGATGGATTTTGCATTCAGAAAGGAATGGTCTGACTTCGATTTCCCTCAAAGCAACTACTTGACAAACTATATGTGTTTTGTGGAATAGCAAAACTATAGTTATAACACTCAAATCTCAAACCAAACCCATTATATTTGCACTCAGCACACTACAAATTAAAGGTCAGAACATATATCTTCTATGACAAAGAAAAATGAAAATAAACTTAAAATCTAAATCTAATTGGAAAGTCACCCCAGTTAAATTTAGAGCCTATAAAAAAAGGGGTGAAATACTGTTCCCTAAGATCAATCACTCCAAAATCCCCACACCTCTCATTTCCTTTAGGGTGTGATGAGAAAATAGACTAATCTAAAAGCACAAATCAAAGGTCCATCTTGTAATCTAGTATACATATACATTAGCAAACAAATGAAACGGGAACATCTCGAAGTGCAACACAGAAGAAAATCTCTAAGTCTGGTGGTGCAAAGAAAGCTAAGGGTGATCTACGCAAAGAACAGTTAGTAAGCACCCTTGGCTTCTTCGGTGCTGGAGGGCATGTTGAAATTTCAGGTATCCGAAACTTTTGACCTTTGGGAGTAGAGCACACAACAGCCACATCCTCAGAATCCATGACCCTTTTCTTTGAGAAGTCCTTGGAGCTTGTTGTTGAGCTTGCAGTGGATGATGTTTCTTGTTTTCTGCTCTCTGGATGCTGCTTCTTGAAGTGGCTTCTTCTTGTTCTCGTCTTCTTTCTTGAGGCTGTTTTTGTTCTTCCACAAGGGACCATTTCTTGAGACAGAGAGAAAAGCTTAAGTGGTTTTGGATAAAAGAAATGGTAAAGGTTACTCCAAAACTAGCACGTACAAAAGCTGGCAGTGACAAGAAGAAATTTGAGGCTTTACCAGATACAGTACAAGAGATATAACTAACTAAATGTTGAAGCTGAAGGACACAAGCTTATCCTATTGGAGATGAAGAGTGCTTTGAAATTGAAATGATATATATTTGACTGAAAAGAGGGTTTTGTTGAGAAGTCAAGTAATGATTCCTCATGGAACAATGTATAGCATATAAAGAGAGTTTTGTGTAGCTGACACCGCAAAAGCAACTCCTTTTACTAACACACTAGAATAGACAAACACAGGTAGTGAAATAAGGAATCCAAGACAAGATTTCTTAAAAAAGAGAATAAACCCATATGCTTTTCAAACTCACATTGGGTATTTGTGAAGAGATATTAAATCACAATTACTACCCTGCATAGGCTTTTGAAAATCTTGAGACCTTTTGAAAGCAACTCAAATAAATAAATAAACAAAAATGTAAGCAAACTATGAGAAGATATTAACCCAGTTAGGTGTTAGGCTTTTATAGAACAATTTAACCTTGGGAGAGGAAAAGAGAAAGGGAATTGAAGGTGGCAGAGAATTTCACACTCGTACGTCTTGGGGCCTATATCATGGTTAGAATGGCAGACAAAGAGAGGGAGAAAAAGTAGCTCATTCAAATATTCTGGGGACCCTATTGGACTTTTAATTGATGAAAGATGACTTGAATTTTTGGATCATTAAAGGGTCGGTAATGCATTAACAATATTCTTTTGTTTGGATTTTTTAATTATACACACTATTTTGTGGGTACCTCATCTAGCTTCAAATTTTGAAATTTAAACTTTATCAAAATAGAATTCAAATTTCAGTGCAACTTTTAGGATCATTTTTATAAAAGGGAATTCATTTATTAGATACAAACATGTATTTTGGTAGTTGGAAGGTTACATAGAGATCATTTTAATCTTTTAAAAGGAGAATATTTTTAAAAAAAACACGAAATAATTTTTTTCTCCGAAAATTTCTTTTTTTTTTTCTCTCTTCCCTCATATACTCATCCCTATCTTGATTGGCTGAAAAGTTATTCTCAAACCTTTTCATGAAAGCCATCCATACCAAATATTATTACTGTCCATAAAAAACATATAACATAATTTTAAGAATTTAGTTTTGATATACTTATATATACTCTCAATGTAAAAATAAATTATAACATCATTTAATTATAAATTATTTTATCAATAAAAATCAATAACTTGTATATTAAAAGTAATATATACAATAATTTTCTAATTGATTGATAATATAATAAATTTTTACAGTGATATTCCATCAAAATTAAACTCTTATTTTAATTGTTACTTATCATAGAACAATCACCGGGAACAATTTTTCTATGCAGAAATTAATGGATTTAATAACCAAATTAACATTAATTTTATTACCTGCCTACACAACGAAGAACTGATACACTGTGGTCTGTGGTTCATTGATCCAAAGTTGTTCAGCCACTAATTGATATACTTTTATTTGGAAAAATATTTAATTGATTAAGGGCGTTGAAAAACTGGAGTGTTCCCATAGCGTTGTCTTCAAGTCCCAGTGCTTTGTTTTTTATCCCTAGATCTTAGCTTCACCTGATCAGATTCACACACTTCAAATTGCTTTTATGTTGCTCCCTCATAGGATCCTACAAGGGTTTGGACCGACGTGGGTGATGCATTTGTTCGCAAAGATTCATTTGTACACATTACAATTTGACGCATATCATGCACGTTTACCACCAAGAATTTTTCCAAGTTGTGATCAAATCTGGATAAACCCAAGTCAAGGAGTTTTTAATTAGATATAAAAGAATAAATTTAAAACAAAAATGTGTAATTGTTGCCAAAAAAAACAACAAGAGTCTATCTAAATCAAAAGCCACATCATATGACTCGCTTTATAATTACGGATATTTATATGCTACGCGCGATAATCTAATGTTTTAAACATGGTGGTGTCGTCATATAATTTTCTATAAAACATATAACCTGATTGATTACATTGGATAGGATGCGCAATGTTTTTTCTTTTTGGTTTTATTGATAGGAACAACATGAACATGCTGAGAGGGTGATGGTAACACGGCTTCACCTTTGTAGTAAATGGGTCAAGGTAATCGAACTCACATTTTCGTTGTCTATTTGTTCGATGACCTTGTGCACGTGAAAATCCTGGGAACGGGTGATGCACTTAAAATTATAACCTTTCTTCAGCTCCGATATTGCCATACAGGAATGCATTCAGGCTGATGAAAACTTGGTCGCTGATGAGAGAAGGGCTCATGGAAACTGTAATATGGCCTTCAGATGACACACAAAAAATCAGCGGATGAATGTGGACCTTTGATCTTATCTTTTCCCTTCACTCTTTTACCTCTCCCTTAATAGAATTGTCAGTATTACGTTCTGTACATTGAGTATATATCTCTACACCTTTTCAAACACATTTTGATAGTTCTCTTTCGTACGGAATTAAGCATAGAATTGAGTTTGTTTGTGTTACAATTTTTTCACTGATACCAAACATGATGGATATCTGTTTTTTGTCGAATCAGTTTACATTTAGTTATAGAGGAAAAAGGCCTGAACTAAATTGAGCCCAAACTTTGGTTACAAAAAACAACGTTAACCAGTTTTAGATATTAAAAAAGGTTTTGGTTGAATAAAAAAAAAAGCTGTAGAACATCGATTCAATTCTCAAGTGCTTTATATACTATTTTTCCCATATACTGATATTGTACAAAACATTACATGCAAATAGCGAGAATGCTGCGTCATTCATACGTATACATTTTTCCCCTCCAAATTCTTTCTGCGGTGCTACAGTTATATCATCAAAATAAAAATGTCACTCCAAAATGTCTACAACCACTCATATAAAATTTTTATTTAAATATTATTAATAATACTTTAATTAACCAAAAAATTAATTTTTTGTAAAAATTATTTAAAGTGTAGCAATAAACATTTTAGAATGCCAAAAGCTCACCCAATAAATTTTTTATATTTTTTAAGTTTTCAAAAGTTTAATTCCAATTTAAATTTTATACATAAATATTAGATTTTGTTTGAGTAATTAATCAGATCTCTTTCTTTTGAAAGTCACTACGTAATAAACTCAGATTAGAGTATATATTAGCGTTCTCAAGCATTCAGATTCAAAAGTAATTCTCACTGTCAGCCATGTTACGCATTTAGAAGTTTTTCAATGAAATATTTCAGCAGGGCTTCCGCTAGGGAGCTGTAAGAAACAAACATTATATTGGTTCACAAACTGGGCAACAATATTGAACCATATGTTGATACCAAAAAAAGAATAGTCTGTGCTTTTCCAACAACAGATTAACCAAATTATGGACCATAAGAGAGAGTTACACGCAAGAATATTAGAAACACCCTCAATCAGTACCCCTTGACATGTCAATTATACAATTCCACCAATTCTCAATATACCAGAACCAAATGAAGTTGAAACTAAGTTCTAAAATTGACATTTACTACTCATATAGTACAATACTAAAGCCTGTAAATCTACATTGAGCTTCCGACTTGCAAAAAAGTAATAAGAGAAAGAGAGACTTTGGGGGTAACCTGGTCAGGAGTGCTTACAAAATTGAAAAGCTTCCACACTGCTCTGACTGGTTCAAAAAAATAAAAGCAAATTGATACACCTGCAAAGGAAACATGAAAAAGGCAATAAAGCATGTATCAATTTAACACAGTAGAACGTATCATATTGTTAAAAACTTCAAGGGGAACATACTATTGATAAACCATCACCAGTATGAAAAGCAAAGCTCGTAGGAAAAATAAATAAATAGAAGACTACATGATACACAGTTGACCCTAAATAAATACGAAAAATATATAAAAGACAAGAAATAGAATCACCATCTCATCTTTATGAATTTGTTTTCCTATCATAGGACCATTGAACTACAACCAACTTTATACAGTTTTTACAATCACACTAACCATATCAGGTTAAACAGATTAACTATATAACAATCAAAATTCCAATTTTCAATTGCATATATAATAAATTTTGCTTGTGATCTTTCATAAATAGAAAGGAACTTCTAGCACAGACAGTACGGAAGTCATTGAAGTACATCCACTGAAACATACCATATTTGAAGCTGAAGCAGGAGGCTGGATTACTCCTTATGTATTAGTTGTGAATTGGGAGAAAATAAATTCTATCAAGATTGCTTTTCTTTGCCTGCAGCCCAAGGGCTTAGAATGGAGTAGCTGATCACATTTAACTATCACCAGAACCAGAAGTATTAATCTGCCCAAGTGCTTGTTTTGCACGAAGCTGCATCATCAAAAGAAAATTTAAAAAATGACTAGAAGAAGTATAGAACGAAACCAGTTTAGAATGAAGATAAATGGACCTTCACATCCATGCAAGGATCATTGACCATCCTCTTGATTTGAGAAACAATGCCAACATTATGCAGTTTTACAATCCTACCCAATGCACCAGGACTTCCACGAAAAGTGAGATTTACTATGACCCAAACAGCAGATGTGCGTAAATGACTGTTGTGACTCTGCAAAAACTGGCTGAAGAAAGAGCGAGACACATTTTCTGCTTGTGATAAGAGTAGCTGCATTATGGCTTCTTTGTGAGACTCATTTCCACTTGCAATGTTGCCAAGTATGTACATCCCCTACACAAAATGAAAAGTCATTACAATCAGCTTGAAGAATAAGATTTCAATGCAATCCCTGTCTTCTTTTTCATATGCCCATCATGTTAATTTTTTATTTCTACCTTGTCAGTGAAAAAATACTTCATTCACCCTATATACTTCCCTTTTGAGATTGCACAGAATATTTGTACGAGTCAGTTTCAAATAACAACAGACTGTAACAGCAGTTTTAAGTTTTACTTTACCATACCCATCAACAAAGTTTAATATTTGTTCTACATTATAACATTATTAAAGGCTTGCTACTTGTGAGATGTATCATTCAAAACGACCCTCTAGTGATCAGCCAGCATTCTCAAATAAATTTAATAAATAATACATTCTCCAAAATTTATTGATTTCCTCTATGATTTTCTCCCAAATATCATTAACAGCACCATGCTCTCAAAGTAAAGTAATCTAAAGTAAACACGATAATCTATATATATATATATATATATATACATACACACAAATGATTTGATTGAACCGTACAAGTAAAAGAATATGATGAAAGTAGATCTCTTGTAACTCCCATAAACATTTATGCAACTAATTTACAGTGGTAACTGTCAGAAATATGACATGGTCAGAGACTCAGATGCCACACGCATTCTTCTAATAAAAAAGTTTTCAACACAAAGTAGTTAGGTTTGTGCATTGTCCACTCTTCAAGCCCAAAGGCCTCTTGCAAGTGAGCATGCCAAAAATTTATACAAAACCATTCATGTATCTTTTACATAATAACTTAAGCTTTTGGGATAGTTGATCACAACAGTAATTTAATAAGGTATTGTTGGGAACTGCTAGAGTACAGTTAATAATCAAGGGTAAAAGTGAAAAGTGAGACAAGAGATCAAGATTAAAGAATGATGACAAAGGCTAATATTGAGAAGATTAAAGACTAAGTACAGCAAAAGGACTTTGTGCATGCATTGAAAAGAATTGAAGCAAAATGGGAAGAGAGAAAAAACAAAATGCTCATCTTATAGAAACACATAAGAAGTCAGCATCATGTGTTCTGGTAAGTGTGTTCACAAAAGCTCAAAGCTTTTGGATTATGAGAATATGTAGCAAAACGGAGTCTTGTCCTTTCAATTGAGGACAGATTCTTTACTGTGCATCATTTTAACCTTTTCATGTAGCAAAAAGATACCCCCAAAACAGAACTGCAGAAGTTGACCCACGATAATAACAACATCCATAAATGGTTAAAAGCTGAACAACAAGAACAGTGGGAACAACAAAAACTTGTCATAATTAACAAGCGTTGTATTGCACGAGATTTATAAAAAGGAGGAGCTATACAGATGAAAAGGGGTCTTTTGGCTCTCAAGTTTTGGTACTTTGGAAGTGGGATAACCTCTCCAAAGAATAAGAAAGAAGAATGGAAGATTTCTTCCTTAGACCTTCCCCACAAGCACATTCTCTAAATTCATAAACCTCAAGTGTGACATAGAGATGAAGGATGAAACTTCATAATTTAAAGACACTGCAAAGTACAAAGGAGCGTATTTAGACGAGCATTCCTTAGTACGCTTGAATAAATGAATGACGCTCAGACAAAGCTGAAAAAGCACTCCACTAAACGAACTCATGGGCAGTATTTGACTTGAGGGACTATCAAGGCACACTTTACTCTAGTAGAAGCATTCTATGCCTTGAAAAGGAAGTAGCAGTCACTTTAGGATGTACCCTACATTTCGAGGCATTAGACAATCCTTACAAGAATGAGTCATGTTGAAAGATGAGGGTAAACTCATTTTTCTAGAAAAGCACCTGTTACGCTCATCTGGTTCACCCCTATAGGTCGAGTGACCATGAGTTCTCATTCAATCTCATGTATTTTATAAGTTTACAAACATCTCCCTTATCAAAATACAATTCTGAAACAGGTATCAAGGGCCCAATTGTTTAAGCTTTTAAAAATGAAGTCTAAGCTAGGAGAAATGAAGGGCAGTAAAGAACTGTGATGGAGAAAGCAACGAAAGAATGTTCACTAGATACCCAAATGGACTACAGGGCCTAGCAGAATAGACAGCTTGTAGTGTGTGAATGTAGGGGATCCTGCCAGGGAGGAAGCTAAATGTTTATAGTGAGGGTGTAGGAAGACATGAGAAGGAAGGAGAATATCAGGGTAAAGTTGATGACCATTGACCCAGGTGGAGATTACTTATTGCAGTCTCTAGGCATCTTTCTTTTTTTTTTTTCATCTTTTAGCTAGTAAATATGTGTTTTCCAGAGGATTTTCCATGATAAATAGATAAATAATAATCAGAGAATTTCAGTTCCTATGATGATACAACTTTTTTATAGAGCCCTTTTTTTCTCAAGAAGCTGCTTTTGAGGGGAAAAAAACACTAAAACAGCTTTTAATATGGTACTAACTATGCTCCGACAGAACACCATCATAAATCATGAGACCAAATCATAAAAACATTTGATGAAAATATTAGTAAAAGGAGGACAGAAGTGTCAAAAAGTTTGTGGCTCAATTGGTGCCAGCCCAAGTCTTTTAGACTTGGGTGTGATTCTATTGTAGGAGGTTCCATCCTTTGCCAGTCACCTTTCCTCATCCGCTACTCAAGAGCTTGCACACCTATGTAAAATGTAACCCCAAGAAAGGTACAAAATGGAAGACCATAACATAATCACAATATTTATCATTACATCAGAACATCCATACCAATGCTAATTGTAATGACTAAATTCCCCAAAAGACTGTTTCAAAACTATTTCCAACCTGTATCCCAATTTCAATTTTTGAAGATTTTTGCAATTGCCTTCCAACAGCATCCAGTATGATACCATCTTCAGCAAAAGCATATTCAACACAATCCATACATCCGTCAACAAAATTGCGAACAAGGGCCAGTGCATGTTCTTGAACAGAAGGCTCAGGATCTGCAGAGTAGACAGAATCAGTGACAACATATTTTGGGGATAACTTATTCTGGTGCACACAAATTACTGAGAAAAAAATAAGAACTGACAATGAAGATCATTACCACAGATAAGGCTAGCTACAGAAGATGCTGTCAACTCCATAAAAATTGCCTCCTTACACATCTTGTCTGCAAGAAATACCATGTTCCTCAAGGCCCAAACAGCATTTAATCTTAAAGAGGAATCCATAGACTTTGTCAACTGGACAAGCTCCTTGATACCTCCACATTGCATGAATTTTGACTTATGTGGTGTAAAGTCAACTACTATGTTGCTAATAGCACCAAGGGCAGCAACCTGAAAGACAACATAGAAAAAGCCAAGCATAAATTTTAACAAAACTAACAAGGGGAAATCTCTTCGAATATGATCGAGAAGGAAGGATAACTTTTGAAAAAGAAATAAATTAACTGTTTGGGAGAAAAGGTCATATTGGATATAATAAAAGAAAGGCTTCTAATTATCATAGGATGACATGTATGCCATTTGTGATAGCCTCATTTCGAGCAAGATAAACTACCTCTAGTGCTCAATAGTTTGAGTTTGAAAAACAATACACCAGATTTTATTGTAACAAGTCCATTTTTTAATGTATTTGACTAAAAGGTTCCAAGATTTTTGAAAAAATATATTTAGTCAATCAAAATCCTTCTTTTGAATGCTAAATTCTGAATCTTATTGTCCAACAGTTTAATCCAAAAATGAGCACTATAAGTCAGCTCACTCTACTCAGCATCAATTACAATACTTCTTCAATACCATACTTTCAAATTCAATGCTAACTTGCTAAGTTTTATCTTTAGTACTGAAGAACTCAAATATGTAGAAGAAAGCATAGTTAGAAAAAACTCTATAGTCTATAAAGTCAATACAGGAAAAGGTAAGAAAATAGCATCTAAATTATCATCAAAATAGCTAACACACAGTAACCTATAAAATTATATATGTAACAGGTAAAATATTAAATTGATTTTCAGATTCCAGTACTTAAGCATGATTGCCACTGGCAGTTTTCTTTCTGCACTTTTCAATGAAAGAAAACTAGCAAGTATTCAAATCAACTCATATACAAGAAATAGGAATGTTGTAATTTGTAAAATGATATGACATACCTGGACAGAAGTAGAAATATCAGATAGAAGCTGAACCAAAGGAATGACAATCCTTTCATTCATGAAATAACCTGCACTCAAATTCTGAATGACATTTTATGAGAACTAAGGAATAACACAGCATGAAAAACTTTGACTCCCATTATTCACAATCACAAGTTACACACCTTGATTGAGCGAGAGACACTTTTTAAGCAAATGCAAGCTGCACTGCGGACATTTGCATCATCATGGGATAAGGCATCAATTAATATATTCAAGACCTGTATTCACAAATAGGGTAGTAGAAGTTGTAAGTGGACTTAGTATTCAAATACCCAATTTACTAGTGAATTTTTTTCCATTACAAGATTGAGAAGAAACACAAAATTGCTTTAAAAAATTGAAACCTTCAATTGATGACATTAAAAATTAAAAAAAAAAAATAAAGAAAGAAATTAAAGACAGTTGAAACCCACAGCATCAGTTTCAAGGCTGAATCTTAACTGTGGCTGACAGTTAAAATAAATTGTTCTAGAAAATAATTGTAGGCACAAGGACATGGAAAAAGATATGCTTCATGAATGTCATCTGTGCTACAATATAAAGACAAACTAGTACCACATTCACATATCCCAAAATTACAAGATAGCATAGAAAAGGAGGGATAAGAGACAAAAAAAAAGATAAATACAAAAACAACATTCTGCAAAAGGCTAGTTCCAACTTCCAAGTCTGTTAGTATCAGGATTCATAACTTGTAATCCTGTCCATCATCTCCAATCATTTACATCCTGCTACCTTTCATCCTTCCATATGGTTGTGTGAAATGAAACACATTATAAGTTGCTATAAGAAAAGGTAAGAAATTAGGAACCAAAACTCTAATGACATGAAAGGGCTAATTGCTGTTTTCTTTTTAATTTTCATTTGTTGTTTCCATGGTAAATAAGGCAGTCATACATCTGGGGGGAAACTAAAAAATGGTTGCTAGCAACAAATATATGAGATTTACTAGAATTTTCCATGAAACAACAAACCTGCAATGAAAGAAACTTAGACCTGCTGCATTCCAATTTTGAGCAAAGATTGGCTAAGGCTAGAAATATCCCTTCAAGACGTTTGGGATGTAAAGAACAATTTTGCAAATGATTGTAGAACTTATCAATAGCATTTGCCTCAAATGCTAGCTTCTGCAAATCTTCCTTTTCTGCAACTAAACTCGAAAAGGCAAAGGATGCATCATCTCCAACTTGACCATAATCATCAAGGAGCTCAAGTAAAATAGATATCAATTTGGTTTTGATTCCTATGTCTTGCAGATAGCAAGAAGACGAATTCTTTACACAAATCAGGCACAAGCAGGCTAGTAACCTTGTCCGAGAATATCTGTCCTTGGTTAATTCAATTACAGAACTCAAAGCTCTTCCATTTTGAAGGTCCACAAATTTAGAGACAGCTTCTGGATTGCTTTTAAGAATTGCAGCAAGGGACTCTAAACTAGAATCTCTCTGGCTTATAGAACCATCAAGAAGGCTAATAAGTTTGTCTAAAGCACCAGCACAGCATAATATATTTTGTTCATCACTTGTCTCGCAAGAATGAATAACAATGCTTGCACCTAGTCCAGTAAGATTTTCATTCTCACTTTTCAATAGTGAAAGAAGAAATTCCATGTTTTCTTCTTTAAAAAAATCATACTTTGGAGCTAGTTTTGATTGATAAATCATTCGTAAAGAGCGTGCAGCGGCATCCACAACCTGAAATCAAGGGGAGAAAGGCCTGTTAGATGGCATTGGAAAAGATAAAAAACAAATAAAAAGTATAAAGAACAGGCATATCACAACAATGGTAATTCATGTATATGGGTTCAGGATAGATATGTCCTGTTCTACCTGCCATATACCACAATCTTTAACATCTAAAGGTTAAATAGAAACAACAATTGCACTTCCTGTAACCTCTGTCCATTCACCCTAGCACTGAAGTATGATGAAAGCATATAGCTTAAAACAGAATAGATATACAAAGTGACTATACTTCATAAATTATGTCCAAACCCCACTGACTGCATTGAACAAGGATGAAGGCCTAATTGCCAACACACTATAACCAATTCACAAAGATTATAGAAGCATTATATCATAATACATCAATTTTCCCCTAACAACTGCTGTTTACCATAACTTAATTGGCTTTTTGATATTTGAGGAAGAGATCGTATGTACAAACCATGGGGGTTCTTCAACACCTCTGATAATTAGAAGCTACCATTTCATTAAATCAAGGATAGTCTTAGCATAGGTGAAAAATAAAGAAATAAGTGCTAATCAATCTATATTTGCCTGTATTTGTAGGCATGCAAAGAGGTAGGGATGTAAGAGGAGTGGGTAAAGCTTAGTGAATTTTTCCCCTTCAAATGAAATTCAAAATGAGAATGCATTGTTCACATCCCAAACGCCTATTGCCTGCAGCCAAACAAAACCATTATTTACCAGTTTCAACATATATTGCACTGAAAAATGCTTCATGTAAGGGAAGTAAAACATAAATTACCAGGGGATAAATAACTGGACACCTTTGTTTCCAATTTTACTAGGCAAAGGGGACAAAGCCAAGTTTTGGCCCTTCCAATTTCTGTTCATTCTAAATTCTAACATACCTATGGGTGAATTTCGCAGTCACTCCACTGCTTCCTTTCTCAGTCCCTTCCATTTCTAACCCAGACTACCATGCATCTCCTAAATCTTACATTCATCACTAAACATAAAATATATGTAGTTTTTGACGGTTCACTAATAAAAATGCTAGCAAGTATAGGAGAGAATATATCAACAACTCGCAACTTAACAAAAACGTTGATAGACCAGAATCCTGCACACAATTCGATCGAAGGGTAGGGAAAAAAAACATACAAAAAATATGCCTAGTAACCATAGCAGTCAACAAGAACAAGGAAGCAAAAATTACATTGCTAACATAAGTACTCTAGAAACTGTAGTTGATTTTGAGATAAGCAATTAACTATTTTCAAACAGAGATATTTAATTCCTATCTACCAATGTATCATCATAAGCAATATAAACAGTGTCTCACGATTTATAGCAATTGCAATTCCATCTTAACCACCAATTTCTGACAAACTAAACAGGTAAAACCCCATTTTAAAAAAATAACATTGTGATTAATCGAATTGACCTTGTCGTCGGGAGCAGAGAGGAGCCTAATTAAATGAGGAAAAACTCCAGCGTCGAGGACGGCGCGGACACCAGCGTCGACGCCGCACGCAAAGCTGCCGAGTGCGGCCGCGGACTGGACAATAAGGTTGGAGCCGGAAGCGGATTCGGCGTTAGCTTCGGCGAGAGCAGTGGCGACGGCGGGGACAGCGCCGAGCTTGATGTAGGAGAGCTTCTTAGTCCGGTTGCCGATGATCTGGTTCTTAACCTCTCGAATGGCTTTGAGCTTGATTTCGCAATCGGAGGAGGCGAGGCGGTGGAGGATCAAATCGGAGGAGGGACGGGTGGCGGGCATGGTGGCGGCGGTGGAGGAAGCTCATGCACGGCGGAGGAGAATGCACAGTAACCTTCACATTCCACAATTACGGTGGCAGAGAAGAGAGGTCTTTATTTTTTTTTAAAATCTTAATATTATTATTTTTATTGTTTTTAACAATGGGAATAAAAGTAGGGGTAAGTATGAAGTTTGTTGTTTGTGGATGGATACGGGTATGGTAGTGTTGTTGAACTTAACCAATTTAGAATTTCTCAGAATTTAGAAAATGGCGCCCTTTCTTTCAGTTTCCGCTTCTCTAATATCTATTTTATTTAGTTACTCACTAACTCCTGCAATGTCTATAGTTCTTTTATAAATTTAATATTTTAAGGCCAGCAAAACTAAAAACTTATGGTATGATGCTATATAAATATAAATCGCTTGGTATACATTTGAAAATATATATAAAACATTTAAATGTATATATACAAATTTTAATGCATTAATAGCCAAAAAAAAAAAAGTTTAATGCATTAAATCTTATATAGTTTAAGCAAATAAATAAACTTGTAACTAAGATTTGTGTATTTAATATCATGTATTTTTATTTTAAATAAAAATACGAATCTAAAATACGGACGTGCACTTGACGTAATAATTATTAAAACGACATAGGTTTAGTATCATTAAATGCCTACATAAGTTACATAACATTAAAGTTATATATAGATTTGTAACTAATTTAAAATAGGACGTGCACTTTACTCAATAATTATAATAAAAAAATTAATAGCATTTTACTAATGTTATAAACTGTCATATATGTACATATGTTTTTGTAATTAATTATTGTAATTACATTTGAGCAAGAATCAAGTGTAATTGGAGAATAAAAAATTTCATTTAATATTTTTTATAAATATTTAATTTCATCTATTCAATGGTTGAATATGTTTTTTCTCTTAAAAAATGTTGAATATATTTACATTAAATGTGTAATTTTATAATTATTATTTATACTATATTTTACAGATTTGATATAGAATAAAATTAATTTGATTATTAAATTATCAAAATTCAATATTTATTGAGAATTGTTAAACATAATAACTCTTAACATAATTATAAACTATTGTTGAAGTAACTTAATTTTCATATATTACACTTTATCTTTTAAAATGTACTTTTTCACTTCAAAAATATTTGCTTCGTTAACAAACTTTTTAATTAGAAAATAAGATTTAGTTTAGATAAGCTTTTAGATAAACCTTTATGAGATAATAAAATTAATATGAAGAATGAAATAAAAATTAATATAATTAAAATTTAACTATACTCTTTAAAATTTAAATATATATAAATTTATTTTAATTTATAAAAAATATTTTGTTTTATTAAATTATTTATTCTTATGAGTATTTATCAAAAACTTTGTCCAAATTAAGTTTAATTAATTTTCCCAAAAAAAAATATCTTTAAATATTTATGATAAAAAATAGCTGAAAGTTTTAAAAAAATTGAAATTGGTTCTTTAATGAAAGTTGAAAGTTATTAAACTTTAAATAAAATAAATTTAATAAAGTTGACCGTTGAATTAATAAATAAATACAAAAAAGACATAAAAATACATGGTTATACATATATATTTGTGTGTGTGTGTATATATATATATATATACATAGAGAGAGAGAGAGAGAGATTACTTGTTAATATTAAACTCTGGCCATTTTTTTAAAAAAATTATTTAATTAAAAAAAATAAGTATGTAAATAAACAGTATTCTGAATATATTTTTAACGTATCCCATCATTTGACATCTAGCCCAACAAACTCCTACATAATCAATGGACAGTGCCCTTATAAAATGATAAAATAAGATATTTTTTAAAGTAAGTGTATAAAGATATATTTTTTAATAATTTAATCTAAAATAAAATTTATTTTAGACCACAAAATTAGCAATCCACACACACGTTTTTTCTTTCGTGCAATTATTATTTTTTGAAGTACAGACACGCTTAATTCTCACGTTGAAGACCGAAGAGTTTAACGTAGATTTCAATTTCACCCTTCGTTTTTCTTTTTTCAAAATACATTTTTACAGTTATATGTAAAACCTAACAATTGTGGATTTACAATTTCACAGTATACAGATCCATTTCCAATTTTTAATGGATAACCAAGATTGAAAGGAACAAGTTATGATTAATAGGTATTCTTTTGCTAAACTCGTATTGAGTTCTGTTAAGAGAATTAGACTATCTTCCATGTCATGACTAATTGGTGATTGCCTTCAATCAAGTAAAATGATCAAACGTCAAATTTGCACTTCCGTGTGAACAATCTATAGTTGACAACATCAATGACTAAGTGTTTACCTCAGCATTTTCAAAGGATATTTGAAAACAAGTTAAAAATCTCATAAACGTAAATTTAATATAAAAACTATAATTAATAATATTAAAATAAACAGAAATTGATCTCATTTCAAACATGGTATCAGTTAAATGCTCAAACAAGAAGCATTTATCGCACATAACGATTAAAAAAGCACACTGCAGTAACTTGACTAGGTAAAAAATGCTCACGCAATAGATGGATTTCAAGAGATCGTGGCATTGACTCCATCTTCGTAACCTTCTCCTGTTTCAATAACGCCGACGTAACTCATTTGTCAATTTGTGGAATATAATAATGTGTAATGTATCCTATTTATAATTGAATAATGAAAGGGAAAAGGATTGGTTTCCTTTATTTATTGCGATTGAACGATGAAAGTGAAAAAGAAGTGGCTTCTTCCAAAAAGAAAGAAAGTGAAGTGGGCCACGACAGCTTTGATAATCGTTCTTGTTGTTGACTGTTAATGGAGCATATTTGGATTTGGATTTTGTTGGGATCTACACGTCTAAATGTGAATGGTTCGAATTTGACGCATCCAGTGGATTGTTTTCCGAGGGCTGAATGTCTAAACTCAAGTGTGAACCCTGCTTGTTGATTATTTTCACTTTCTAATATATGAACCTCAAACGCCATCAAACACAGTATTATCCAACACATTATTTTGAATTCATGATGGAAAGTTGTCTATCCCATACAATAAAACAAAAGAAACACAGATAAGTGGAGACGGAAGCAATATGAACTTCAAGAACCAAGATCGAACTCCATTTGGCAACAGGATTTAGTCAAAATAATTCATCATAGTTCCCACTAATTTTTCATGCACCAACTTCGAAGCATTTTTTTTGTTTTTCCAGCCATGTGAAGTTCTCTCATCATCACCAAATGTATTAAAAGCTAGTGCTCAATTTCAACACTCTCATTTACTTATAGCTGCACGTGTCATCCACTCAGATTTAGATCTACTTGTTATAACATACTATGCCATCTTTTTTGACAAACAAAATTTTAGGATAAGGAGATGGTAGTTTAATCTAAGATAAAAGTTTCTTTTAACTTAAAGATTGCTTTAAAACAAGTTATATTTACATAAGTTCAAATTGAATTCAAGATTACTAGTTTGCAATGCATTGATATATACATATCCTGATATTAAAACTTATTAACTTTTAAAATCTAAAACAATTGTAATTAATAACAATGACAAATATTTTATTATATTTAAAGTTTATTGAAAGGACTAACTATTGATTAAAATATTATAGAAAGTGAAAATCTCTTTTATATGAGTAAATCATTAATAAATAAAATAATATTAATTTAATATGATTTATAAAAAAAATTGATTTTATGATCATTAAAATGTACAAAGATTCTATGAACATTGATGATGATATAAGAAAATTAAGTGTTATTTAGAAGAATTATAAAAAGTAAGAATCTATTTTAGTTGAGCAACTAGTTAAAAAAAGAAACACTGATTTGTTTTGCAAATATTAAAATTTGACCATGCGTCAATAAATTTTGTTTTGATTTGATCATCATCATTAAAATGTTCAAGAACTCTAATTTAACATTGATTAAAGAAATTTAAGTATTAATTGAAAGATCATGAAAAATAATTTTATTTAAATAATTAATAATAAATAATTCAGTATAAAATTTCACTACCCATATTACAACATTAAATAAAGGAAAAAAGTATAGTGTATCTTTAAAAAAATTATAATTTTTTAAAAATTAACACAAATGCGTGAATTACTGTATTATACACGTAGTTATTTGTTTTGCAACGTGGTATTGCTTAATCCAAAATTGATAAAAAGTAGTGGCGATGTTTTTATAAATCTTGACATTGAAGTTACCGAAAACAAAAACTTTACATTTAAGAAAAATGGGAAATTTTTACTGGCTAGATCCATGCAATGCCAAACGCGGAACCTTCAAATAGCGGGGTAGATGAGCCATTACTCCACACTTGTGTGTCCGCGTGCCACTTCCTCCACTCCATTGGGTACTGCCTCCTCTCTCTTTCTCTCTCAATTTCCTTTTCCCTTTTCATCTTTTGAGTCAGTTTCCTTGTTATCCGCAGATAGCTTAGATTTCTTTGTAACGGTCATGTTCGTGTAAAGATCGCAGCTTTTCATTTGGAGTGGTAGGTGAGAAGAGAACTGAATTGCCCTTTGTTGTTTACTATGCTTTTGTTATTACATATGTATATTGAAGTGTAGTTATTTTATATTGCAGCTATAATCAATTCCATAATTGGAGTCGCTTGCGTTTGAAGTTTTGAATTTTCCATTTATAGTCCACCTTTTTTTTTTTCGGTTAATAACTGAAGCTATTGTGTATGTGATTTCTGAAGGGAAATGAGGAGAACTGGTTGAGCTTGGAAATTAGGTCTTGTTTTTGCTTTGAACTTGGGTGTGATGGAGTTACCTTCCCCTTCTCATTTGTGTGTTTGGAAAGCATATGCAACTATGGGAGTGTGGACCCTTTTCGTGCTTCTACTGCTACTATTAAAGAGTGATGTTGTACATTCGGGTTCTGATTACTTGATTGGTCTTGGAAGCTATGACATTACTGGTCCTGCAGCAGATGTTAACATGATGGGGTATGCTAACGCAGAACAAATTGCATCTGGGGTTCACTTCAGGCTCCGGGCTCGTGCTTTCATTGTTGCTGAGCCAAAGGGTAACCGGGTGGTATTTGTGAACCTCGATGCTTGCATGGCTTCACAGCTTGTGACTATCAAAGTAATTGAGAGGCTGAAAGCAAGGTATCAATGATAGCTTCTCTGCTCTCAAGTAATTACTGTGATAATAACTTGTAGAACTTATAGAAGAATGACTATATGGGA